TTGAGGTTTACGGCCAAACATAAGAAAAAACGGAGACTCGCCAGTGCTCTGATGAGGGGTAGTGTTATAACAGAAGAGTACTTGTGGAAGACAGGAAGCCCAATCCCGCTTCCTAGATGTTGGTAAAGTGCGCAGCAGATTATGAAGTGTTCGATTAAAGCGCTCACACTGCCCGTTTCCAGCAGGGTGGTAAGGGGTAGTGCGCGACTTTTTAACCCCATACAGGTTACAGAGCTGCTGAATTAACGCACTCTCAAAACTCCGACCCTGATCTGAATGAATGCGACTTGGAATCCCAAATCTAAAGAACCATTCAGTGAGCAAAATCTGGGCAACAGTGGCTGCCTTCTGATCCCGAGTTGGAACAGCAATGGTGTACTTAATACATCAGTAACTACAAGAACATTTTCCAGGCCATTTTGTGAAGGCTCCAACATGGTAAAATCCATGGCAACAATCTCGTTTGGCTGAGAAGCCAACAGATGACTCATGAAAGTGCCAGAGCTAGATGGTACATTTTTAGCAACCTGGCACCGTTGACACTCTTGTACCCACTGTTTGATGTCATTAGACATCCCCGGCCAGTAACAGCGCTGCCGTACCAACTCTGTGGTGCGCTCCACACCCTGGTGTCCATGCTCTTGATGTAATTGAGTCAGAACATCCGGTTTAAGAACTGACGGCAAAACCAGCTGTAAGACCTCCTCACCACCATCTGACCGATGGACCCGACGGTACACCACACCATCTCTCTCCACGAGACGACCCCACTGTCTCAAAAGAACCAAGGATAATTTGGGAAAGCGCTGCCTCTCCTCAGGAGTAGGATAAACCTGCCTCCTCCAAAAACCCAAAATGTCCTTCAGGAGAGGATCAGCTTCCTGCAAAGCACAAAGATCAGACACAGAATGAGACGGCAAAACAGTCACCATAGATTGGGTTACCGACAATGGAGCAGGAATTGGGGCACACTGAAGAGCCTCTGGAACAGAGGTACATGACAAGAGTTCTGCCAGGCTGCCTCCTGATGTTGGCTGGCGGGAAAGCGCATCAGCATTAGTATTGCTGCGTCCAGAACGATACTTAATATCGAAATCAAAAGCAGCAAGTTGCGCAACCCAACGGTGCTCCATGGCACCAAGCTTGGCCGACTGAAGATAACTCAACGGGTTGTTATCTGTGTAAACTATACACCGGTGGCCCAAGAGATACTCCCGGAACTTCTCAGTCATGGCCCATTTTAATGCCAGAAACTCCAACTTCATAGAGCTATAATTGGCCATGTTATGCTCCGAAGGTTTAAGACCTCGACTGGCATATGCAATGGGCCTCACTCCATCCTCTGTTTCCTGTGACAGTACTGCCCCAAGTCCACTGTGACTGGCATCAGTCTCTAGAATGAAGGGACGTGAAAAATCAGCATATGCCAACACTGGTGCAGATGTTAATTTAACTTTTAAGGCCTCAAAGCTCTCCTCACACTCTGATGTCCAAGCAGATTGAAAAGCCTGGCCAGACACCTTCCTGGGCTTTGTGCCCACTTGTTGTGCCACCAGCCTATGAAGCGGACCCGCTAGCCTAGCAAAACCCTCCACAAAGCGCCTGTAATAACTTGCAAAGCCCAAAAAGGAGCGAAGCTCTGAAACATGTGTGGGACGTGGCCATTTAGCCACAGCTTCAGTCTTGGCTGGGTCTGTAGCTACACCTTTATCTGAGATAAGGTGTCCCAAGTATTTAACCTGTCGCTTGAAAAATGAACACTTGTCAAGCTTTACCTTCAGACCTTCTCTCTGGAGCCGAGCAAGAACGGTTTCCAGGCGCTCAATGTGCTGGGAGACTGAACCTGAAAACACAATGATGTCATCCAAATACAAAAGAAGAGACTGGCACTGCTGGTCCCCAAACATCCTCTGCATTAGACGCTGAAAGGTACTAGGTGCATTACAAAGCCCGAAGGGCATACGGTTCCACTCGAAGAGTCCAAATGGCGTACAAAAAGCAGTTTTTGACTTATCCTGTTCTGACACAGGAACCTGATTGTACCCACTGGCTAGATCTAGGGTGGAAAACCACTGGGCCCCAGAAAGATGGTCCAGGCTTTCCTCAATGCGAGGCAATGGGAAAGCATCTTTTCTCGTCTTGCTGTTAAGCTGACGGTAATCCACACACATACGCAGGCTGCCATCTTTCTTCCTAACAAGAACGATGGGAGAGGCATAAGGACTGCTGCTTTCCCTTATTACCTGGTTCTGTAGGAGCTGATTAATGTGTGACTTGGCAGCCTCGTACTCTGAGGGAGGGATACGTCGGTACCTCTGCCGGACCGGGACCTCATCCAACAGGGGAATGTCATGGGACACCAGATTAGTGCACCCCAAGTCACCTTCATGAGCTGAAAAGACAGAGCTGTACTTCTGTAGAAGTGACTGGACCTGCCTTTGTTCAGTTTCTGTCAGTGGAGACAAATCAACAGAATCAAGCAAACTCTGTTCTGGACCAAGAGCAACCTGAGAAGAAACTGTAGCACAGGGTCTTATTTCTGTCACATCACGGGGCAGGCTAACCACTTCGGTTCGACTCAACAAACCAAGGTGAGTTCGGGGATAGAGTACAACATCTGTAGTTCCAAAATTTAGGACAGGAACATAAGCAGTACCGTGCACAGCCTGAATGAGACATGGAGAGGCTAATAAGCCAGCTGGTAAGCCGGACTCTGGAGGCTCAAACAATAAAACCTGACCAGCAAGTTGTTCAGGGCAGGTTGCAGCTACAAATTTCATAACCCCACCAGTTATCCTCACTGGTCGAGGGCCCCGGACCCTAACAGCACCAGTCAACTGTGTTGGGGACTTAGCTGCTGCTTGATGACACTGCTGCAGGGCCTCCACAACTGGACCAGGAGACTGTGTTACTGAAGGTAAATCAAAGAAAGAGCCTCCGTGTGCCCCAAAAAGTTCTTGGTAGACACGATTAATTATGTTCATTCCCAAAATGCCAGGAACAGAAGAACCAACATTAGTGGGGTCCTTCACAACCAGAATTCCACAATGAGGAAGCACTTTGTTACACAGAGTGACATCCAACTCTAAATAGCCAATGTATGGGATGGAAAGACCATTGGCTGCCCGAAGCTGCAGCCAGTGACATGACTGAAGGCCATCATGCCCCAATGATGCAAAATGTTCCTGAAAACAGCTCTCGGTGATTGTCGACACCATGGAACCTGTATCTACTAAACAAGTAACAGAGACACCACTCATGACGACATCAATGACTGGGCAGGATGCCAACAATTTTGACGCGGCTGCTGTTTGCGAGCCTGCTATTCCCCCACCCGAGTTGTGGCTCAACAGCTCAGTGGGTGCTAGTTTTCCGCCTGGTTAACATTAGCTGGCCTTGCCACAGAGTTAACTTGGGCACGAACCCGCTCACCATCACACTCTCTGGCAAAGTGACCCGGCTGTTGGCACCTGTGGCAGACCACAGAACCTGGACGAGGATGCCGCACCTGTGGTAAAGAGGTCTGCAGAGAAGCAATACACTGGGTGAGTTGGTTAATCTGTTCTTGTTGCTGTTTTAGAAGTTCCCTTAACTCACTAAACTCAGAACAGGCAGCAGTAGGTGGAGTTAGCCGAGAACTGCCATACACCCTGTACTGCAGCCCATATGTAGAAGGGAGAGAATGACTACGCTCCCTAGCGCCACCTGGAAACCCTTGCCTCTCCCACCGAATTGCCTCCCCACGCACATCCAACAAGGTGGCAGTGGGATGACCCCGAACATACTGCTTAAGATCCCGGCGGAGAGCACTATCCAACACATGTTCTACAAACTGGTCACGCAGCAGAATATCAGCATTCAACAACCCATCAGGAGCATTCTGCTTAACTGGTTCCATAAGGGCCATCAATGCTAGGGAAAACTGCAACAGTGTTTCCTCCTCTTGCTGCTTCCTAGAAAAAAATGCATGCTGAAGAGTTACATAGGACTCGGTGCAACCATACAACTCCCTCAAAATAGCCAAGATCTTAGCTGGATCATTCCTTTCTGCACTGGTGCGGTACTTTATTTCCTCCCTTGCTTCCCCCTCTAGATGATCAAAAAGGAAGAAAGCCTGGTCTGCCGTTGACAAATGGCGGGCCCGAATACATGATTGGGCCTCCTCGATCCACTCACCAATCCCAATGCCAGTCCTACCACCGAACACGGGACATTGCCGGTCCCTGGGCACAACCACCAACCGCTCAGCAACCACAGCGCCAGCAGGCATGACACCACCAGCCACAGCTGGGGAAGGAGCAGCGCCCAGCGAACCTCCAACCGTCACATTCTGCCGACCAACTCCATCCACCGGGCGGCCTGCCACCTCCTCCATACCTACAGGGGAAGACTACCAAAAGGAAACGCGAGAGAGAAAAAAACAAACAAAAGAAACAGTGAAAATAAATCCTGAACCCACAGTTAAGTTTTCCTTGGATAGCTACTGCTGTCTTGTCTTAAAACATCATGAATAAAAACACGGCTAAGACCCTAAACACACAAAAAAAACAAAAAAAAACAAAGACAAGTCCGTGCTCAATGGTGAGTCCTACCAGCAACGCCAAATGTGACCAGTAGAGGAGGTAGATCTTTTTAGGCAAGACGCACCAGAGCACGGAGTAGTCTCCAATGATTTATTAACAAATTTCATTAAAACATTTTTCTTTTAAAACATGGCCTCGGGCCCACTACTCAGCCCCTAGAAGGAAAAGGCATCAAAAATGAGGACAATTTAAATTATTCCCAAAAAAATGAATGAACAAACAAATCATGCAATGCAAAAGAAAACAAATTAGTAAATCAAAACAAAGGAAAGCAAACAAATTAGTAATTTAAATAATAAGCAAACAAACGGCAAAGAAAAGAACACAACCACTGCAAACGATGGGACAAACTGTCGTTGTCCGACTTCTAATGTCTTTTCACGGGGCCAGAGGAGTCGTGCCCCGCTCGTTCCACCAGCCCAAGCGTCAGCAGGCTCCGCCGAGAGCGGCCCAAACAAAACCGGCAAGACAGACAAGACAGCAGGAGCGTCCAAGCGCTGCAACTCCGGAAGAATCCTAAATTAGAAAACTCGTTAACGGTGGATTCAGGTAAGAGTAAATTAACTTCTAAACCGGTAGCTTACCCAGATGTGGTGACACAGCCGACCAGGGAGGGAGCGGATCAGCAGGCGAGGGCCGGACGGAAGCCGCTCGCCGCACCAACCTCCAACTGCAGCCGCCAACGCCAGCCGCGCAACGCTGCAGAAATGCACGGCAGGTATTGCACCAGAACCCGACAACAATCCCCAGCCCAGATGGCAAAATGGCACTTACTATTTTGGATGAGTGGATCGAGCACACCAGCCACTCGGGCAGCCGACACACGGTAAGGAAACAAAGCACACGCACCTCGCAGCGGACTGCTCAGCTTTAAAGCTATCTGCCCGCCCCCCAATCAGTCACTACACCTGGTGTGTGTAGTTGGGAGGGTGGAACACCATCCCACCACACATGTAATTACACAGCTGGAGTCAATTTCTGTTTCTGCCTCTTGTACACATTTTTAGCCTACAGCCAGTCTCAGAACAGTTCTACAAGAGCTGGTAAGTCTTAAGCCAAAAAAAGGGCAGCCAGGACCTTTTTCATCAGGACTTGGGACTATCGTAGCAGTACCAATAAAGGACTTCATGAATCTCTCTTGAAATACTACTGACTTGAAAAGAAAACAAACAAAAAAACCTGTAGTACTTTCCATCTTCCAGGGCAGAGTTCAGTCTGACCATGATCATTAAAGGTCTGTTTCAGTATGATGGATTTAGATCAAGTCATTGCTGTTTAACAGCTTTGAAAGTGCTAAATGACAACCTCTGCTTTACAGAGTAAAATATCCAGTAAAATATGATAGATCTGACTAATGGAGCCTAGATGGAAGTTCAAATGAAGAAACGCATTGCTTTCCTTCATCCACCTGCAACCCAGCCAATCAGCTTTGATCATCCAAAGTTATTCTTAAACGGCCTCCGATACGCGCCTGTCTGCTCCTGTGCACGGGCGGTGGATACGCTGTGTGACTTCATTCAGATGTTACTGTTTCAACCCACCTCCAGCCCCTTCTCCACCATCGTAGCTAAAGCTTCCATCAGAGTGTCATTCCTCCCGGACTCTTACTGCATTTCCTGTCTCATCTTAACCAGTCCGACAGAAGACTGCCATGTTGAGCCTGGTTCTGCCAGAGGTTTCTTCCCAACGGTGAGTTTTTCCTCTCCACTGTCGCTCCATGCTAGCTCATCTCGCAATCCTCATCTTCTCTCAACCTGTGTTATCCAACTGGACTTCCATTAACCAGGTCCCTGAGTGAAGCTCTAGTATCAGCTCACGCAGTCCACTGGATTTCCCCATAAAGCTCAGCAGACCGTCTCGCTAACCAGCAGTCTACAGACTGACCAACTTCATCTATCTCCACTCCACCACCAGTTTCAGGCCTGGAGGGGAAACAGCCCTATTCTTTGCTCCTGTTCATGCATATAAATCAAATTAAGCGCTATTTTTCCTGCCGAGGTCTGATTACCAAAGACAAAGTAATTGTATCAATAAATTTCTCTTAGTTTTCTTTTCTCTTTATGTGAGTTTTTCAGATTGAAATGTGATTGATAGAGAGGATCATTCTATTCTTTAAAGCAAAAAAGATGATGTTGCAATGTATAACAACTTTCAGTTATCAAACATTTTAATAACATATACTGACTTCCCGGAAGGAAAAATGTCCCTTTTAGATAGAACCCAGTATCTAAATTCAGACCTGGACTGAGCTAAATATAGTTTATTAAATCCAGCAATCCTTTTCCTTAAAAAGTGTATTGAAAAAAAAAAAAAGAAAGGTTTAAGGGATAACATATCTTATATAGCTCAAGTTGTATGTGACGCTTTATGGAGTCGTAATGTGATGCTGTGTGCCACTTTACTTTACATTTTATTATCAATCCATCCTTTCGCAGACATCACTGCTGTCTGTATTCCGTTAACGGGTCATTCTTATAAAACTGAAGAAAATTCCACTGCTGAGTGTTTATTTACAAAAGTCTAATATGTCTATGCCACCCTATCATTATAATTTGTTACACTTTTTAAGATTTGCTTTAAAATATGTTCAGCCCAATTTAATATACTTAATGTTTCCGAAATTAAATTGGAATACCCTAAACTCCCCTAAATACATGCATGCTGCAGCAAAAGACTATGACAGGATTCAAAAAGCACTAAAACAAACAAAAGGGTTATTATGAATAAGATTTACAGTAACTTACTGGGTTAAATAGGTTAAAATAAAATTTTTAAACTTACCAAGAGTCCAGGACGGTTTTTGATTGAAATTCACTACTTTTCCAGATTTATTTTTAAATCATTCAAGAGTTACTACATTCCGCACATTAAAGATGTTTTGAGCATAAACTGTAAGTACCCGTCTTATCTGGAGGCAAAAAGATTTTTTCAATGTTTGATTCAGTTCAGGAACAATCAGCTAATGAAAAATCAAAATCCTATTGGGTAAGTTGTTAAAAAAATAAGTCGGGGTGGGGAGGAAAGTAATTTAAAACTTTTCAAGATTTTTCAAAGCTACCGTATGCTTAAATATATACATAAAAAAAATATGTGTTTAACAAATCTGGAATTACTTCAATTAGTTCAATATGGTCAGTCAGTCAACTTAAAGACAATGCCTCAATCAAGCTGGGATCAGACAGAAACTTGAAGTACTAAAAAAATTAAACAAAACAAAAAAACACTTTAAATTTAAACCAATAAAAAAATGCACTGAAAACATCAAGTAAAATTAGGAATACTAAAGCCATAAGAAGACAGGAGCCTTGGTCAATGTTATGGAGGTTTTTTCTTTCGGTTTATTGTTCAGCTAATATCTGTGCCTTGATAATAATTACAAAAAAATCTATGCATTACACATTATATATATATTTAAATAGATATACCATATTATATATATATATACTGTTCCTTTAAAATGTCATATTTACAAGCAGTCTCTAACAGTCGCTTTAAATTCATTCAAACTGCATTACATTAAGCCTTTTCTAATACAGCCAGACCTGTACATTTTACCAAAAGCAAAGAACACTCACACAGCCTACAATGACCACAGACAACCTAAATAAGCTTGTTTCTAGTACATCTCGTAATTGAAGACACATAAACAACTAATGCAGCTCAGCTTCATAAGAGGTTTATTGGTGCTTTACTCAACAAAATTGTGCAATTGCCTTATCCGTTTTTAGAGGTAATCAAGCTGATAATGTTGTAAAGAGAGATATTTTATTATTTTATGAAACTAATATTTACTTCACCCAATATTACAGAAAAGTGAAAGATAAAACGTTGTGTCAGCTGTCCATTGTAGCTTGGACTATATCGCCACCCTCTGGCCTGTTCTAGAATGACACATGAAGGGAAAGGAAAAAAGCAGTAGACTGACTTCATAACTTAAAAAAAATAATAATTCCTGTCAAGAACTAGCTATACTTCCCATTTCAATTGTATTAATAACCCTGGAACATTTTTGACATTTTCTTACACTGCAATCACAGAATGGCATTTAGGTAGGATATTATGTGATTAGCCAAAACACAAACAAAAATTTTATTTTTCAATTCAGTTTCTTTTATTCTGGTATCCCTAAAGTTCACCTCTGTGTTATTTAAACTCTTAATCATCTCTTCTCTGAATGCTTAATAAACAAAGATGATGATAAAAAGACAACAGTAAATGGATCAGAAAAAAGGGTTTTAGAGCGGTTTAAAGTAGGATCAGCCTATAAAACAATATCCTAAGCATTGAACACCTCATACAGCACTTTTCAATGAATCATCTGGAATAGCAAACCAAACATGCAAAGCATTAACCTGTGAAAGCAAGTGACCCTTTAACTTAAGTTAAAGAGATCAACATAAGCTGTTAGCCTTCCATTTGACAAATTTGGTCCCAGTGGAGTATAAGAAGAAAGGCGCTTGGTCTAACAAAAAAATTAAGTTAAAAGTGGCGCATACATAGAAAACATAAAGAAGAATGTGTTCTGGTCACAGGAAACCAAAAATGAAACTTCGAACCATCAGGCAAAAACCTTTAAAGAATAAAATTACAGATCATAATGAACATCTCATAGTGTAGCATGGTGATGGCATACTCATGCTCCGGAGAGGCTTTCTCCTCTACAGGGACAGGAACTCCAGTCTGAACTGGTAGGAAAATGGAAGGAGCAAAACAAAGCATCTTAAAAAAAAAAGTTTAATAAATTCTTCGTTAGGTATTTGCCAGCCATGTGCTTTACTGCATTTTTCAAGTATTTTCCTGCAGACACCTGACCTGAAAAAGTTGAGTTATCAACAGACTTCTGCAGGATTTAATTAGACGCGGATGGGGTAATGCATTCAGACTCAAACATTTAGGTTGGAGTAGAGACAAATGTAAAACGGCAAGAATGTGACATTCTAAGAACCAGGATTTAGAACCAGCGTCTTAGCAGCTGAAAGTCACTTTGGTCTGGCACAAAGCATATGGGGAGAGCAACAATGATAATTCATATTAAAGTATATGCATGTGATAGAATCCTTCACCTAAAGTCTAGATCCAAATGCAATGCACGGTCTGTCGCAAAACTTGAACATTGTGATTCAGATGCTTTATAACCAATCTGATTAAGTTTGGAGTGTTTTGCAAAGCAGAATTTCTGAAGCAGGTAAACACAATACTTGGAATTGGAAATGCAGCAAAACAGTGGTTTGAGACATTGCTGCATTGAAGAGAATTTAATAAATTCATGCAACACTTTTATGAATTTAATTTGTATAAAATGTTGAGAAAACATAGAACTTTACTTCCAATTCAAAATGAAAGCATCACACCGTTGCTGTACCACAAACAAAATGCTGTATCTGGTTGTAACACAATTTATGTATAAGGGGTATGAACACCTTTGCAAAGCACTATACTCCTCAAATATAAGGAAACAGGTTTACACGATTAGGTGGGTAATTGTACTGATGCTGCAGGCTGGAGAATAAAGCAGCACCATAAGCTGGTATCACAACAGTGCTTGGAGTTATTTTGTCACATTTGTGCTTTATTTGGCCTTCGGTGCCAGTAAATTCTCTGTGCTGCCATGAGTTTCTTCTGGGACCTGCAATATTTCCCAGACTTTAAAAAAATGTAACAAGTTTGAATATGTATCTTATCCAAAAGCCAAATGCCTAAAGGTTTTAGTCAATACAAAAGTTAATCAGAAGAACTGCAGACTGGAAGCAATCATCCATTAGTCATGTTTTCTTCCTCTATTGTTCTAAAGTGGGTTTTCTTAACAGCAACCCCTCTCCGTCAGCATAAGTGGTTCTGAAAGGGATATTTAAACACAAGACAATGCAGACCCCCAGCACAGTCTCAATGTTTAAATGGTAAGTGGTGAAGTATTCCTGTAAATGTTTCTCGGTAATGGAGCTACAGTAGAAACCAGACACAAAGCACAAGCTTACAGCATCTTTTAATCTAATAATGTTTCAGTGAGATGTTTCATATCTCAGCAAACAGAAACACTCTCCAGTGCATCTCTTTATTCCAGCTCTATACAAGTCTATTAAATAATTCTACAGTTTTAACCCCTAGTTCTGTGTAAAATAATCACTGTTAAACAGTACAGTTACTTGCTCCCAGTAGGTGTGGGAAGAAATCAGAACAAGTCATTTAGTGGTAAACATTTAGACATAGTGGATGTTTTTTATTTAAGTAAAGCCATCCTGTAGGGGCATGGTGATAAAATCAGTTTGTCTCAACATTGTTCTCATCAGGTGGCTGACTGGAGCTACATGTTACCCTGTTTGTCTGATGATGAGGAGGATGTGGACGGTGATGGGGAGGGGGCTTTTGGAAAGACCTTTTCAGTGGGAGTAATGCTAGGGCTACCCAGACCAGAAGAGCTGGAGCTGCTAGAGCGGTGTGGCACGTGACCAGGTCCGATCACTGGAGCAGGTCTCACTGGCCTGACGGGCGGCGGCCTTAAAGGTGCACTTGGTCTACGTGAAGACAGGGCTGGTTTAAAGGTGGTCATGGTCTCGGAGGAAGAGCTGCTGCTGCTACGTCGTTGGGCTGCATCTGGATCCCTGATTACCATAGTGTGCTGGGGGCTGGCGGACATTTCCTGGGCGGCACCAGGATGTTTGAGGGGCTCCAGCGTGTCGAGGACAACATCTGGGGCATGCTTGGCTACATTCTGCCTCTCTAGCTCTCGCAATTCATGCAGAGCTGTATTCATGGTTTTCTCTATGTCCTAGCAAATAAAAAACAAAACAAAAAACAATATTTTAGTTCAGACAGCAAGTGTTTAAGTGGGGAGTTTTGTAGTGCCAAGCTCACAGCCAGTTAATATCAAAATAAAAAGCAAAAATATATTTAAAAAAAAGTGATATCAAATACTGAATTTATGCTTCCTAACATTACAATTACACAACATGTAAAAATGCAAAACAGCTCATTCTTGATCATGAATAATTTAAAATATTCTAATCTCCAAGCACATAACTTTCCCCATTTTACAATTTAATTGGCTCATTCAGTTGAGTATTTTGAAATTTTTTTTTTTTTTACGATCCACCAATACTTCAATTGTGTAGCTGAAAAATTTAATAGCTGAAATACATATTTACAAACACATGCATGGCAATCTGTGCTATTGATATGGGAACAACTTTACCTTAAAAACTGTACTGGTTGTTCATGGGTCTAATCTATCACATACTGTCATTACTTCATTAGTATCTTTTATCATAAAAAACTATATAAGCAACTTAAAATGATTAAAAAATTGAAATAAAAGAATGATTTGGTTTCTATTAACTAGAGTGATGAAAAGTTTTCTGAATGGCACGATCATAATGGACTATTATACCTGGCTATTTCATGCTGAGCGCTCCTTTGCTTCCAAACTACCAAAGAGGACAATGAAAATTGGAAGTGATCTAACTACTCTTCAATAACTTGTTGCCACCTCTCACCTCTGCGAGTGCCTCAGCCTCTAGCGCTTTGTGGTCCCCTAAACTTGCGTGCCGAGTCGTGCCCGGCGATGATCGCTGAGAGTGGCTATCGATAAATGCCTTCCTGTCAGGGTGATTTATGGAGCCAGAGCTGCCGAATGTGGTGAGGCGTCTTTTCTCCGGGCTGTCGCCCTGGCCTCTGTTGACGGTTATCTTGTGTGGGCTGCAAGGGCGAGGCATAACCCTGGGCGGCTGATCGGCTGCTCTGGTGGGGCTAAGGCTGTCTGCCCCATTGTTCCTATGGCGGGGAACTGCAGCCCCATCTGATCGCACCCTTAATCTAACAGAAAAGGATTTTAAGGGAAAATTAATGTCTTAGTTATGGATGGATATTTTTGCTTGCATTACTATACTTATTTCTTGATGCTATGGGGGGATTTAAATATGTAACCTTTAAGATCACAGGAGGAAGAACATGCGGAAGAAAGAGATAGATCTAGGGCAAAAGAATGAAAAGAAGGAAAACAACTTAGAAAACAAAGGTGAAGGAATGACATAAAAGAAGGTATATAGGACCAGGATGAAAGAACAGACAGATGACATTATTAAAGAGCCAAGGAAGGAAAAGGTTAAGATGAAAAGAAGGAAATGAACTGCATGAGGAAGGAAGGAAGGACAGAACAACATGTGAGCAGAATGGCAGATGATTATTAGGATGGAAGGAAACAACATGGAAGTGAAGGTGGTAAAAGAAAGGAATGGTGGTACGAAGGTAGTTTTAAAGTAATTGAGAAAATAAAATCTGGAAACGACATTATTTTACAAACTGATTTCTTTCTGTGATTACCCAGTATCATAATATATTGAAATCAAATTCCAAATGTTTCACTCAATTTATTTATGTATTTTTTTTAAATAAATCCCACCTTCCTAATGCAGGTCCGAAACGGTTCTCAGCAGCCTGATCAGAAGGAGCCTGACGCTCATTTCTTGATGAAGTCCTGTCATCATAATAAGGGCCACTGCCAGTCTCAGCTTCTGTCCTTTGAACACTGTCTGAGAATGCATCATCCCTGTAATGAACATAAATCAGTGATTCATCTTTAATATTAATTTCTGTTTTTTTCTAATGCTTATTTATTTTGTAAGGTTTTTAAAGCATGTAAATAACAAAATAATAAACCAGCATAAGCATCCAAAGACTAGATAAAGTCTTTCTGCCACTAATATAAACTGATCAGTGATTCAGAAAGATTATTTACACAATATAATTCAGTCTCCTCTATCATGTATGTCAGATAATTAGCTTCGAATTACAAGTTCTTTCTGGAGAATTCTTTCATTCTGCAAAAAAAGGAGGGGAAACAGTGGAAATGAGAAAAGCATGATATCTGTTTTGTTCAAAGTTTCCTTTCAACAACAGACAACATTTTTACCATGAAATTTAAAATAATAATACATTTTTTTAATGAAAATAATATAATTTAACTAAATTTGCTTTATAAGTTGAGCTGCCCATTTCAATAGATTAATATAACCACATAAAAAGTTGGTCTCTTCCAATAATATTGTTCTTAAAGGGTTAGGCTTTTAGAATATAAAGTGATATTTTATAAAAAACAAAAACAAATGGATGATTATGACTTGAAGCTATTTTTAAACCTATACACTACTGTTTATGCTCTAAAAACATTCTAAATGACTTAGTTTCGAGTAAATTCTGGATGCTACCCACTCAGGACACTTGGAATACATTGGACGAGCAGTATGGAGGAATATTGACACGTTTTTTGTGGACTTTTATGGACCTTTCTGCCTCGGGCGCCATAGACCTCCATTATTTGAATGTCAGCAGACAGCAAGAAGCCTCCCAGATCTCCAGATGCATTTGAGATATCAAAAAAGTACTCCAGAGTGTTGTTCAGCATGGGGGTGAGTAGAAAATGAAGGCTAATCATGTTTTGGGTGAACTATTCCTTTAAATTCTAAGAAAACATATATAATAAAAAAAAAAAAAAAAAGGGAAATTTAACAAAGTAATGGACCATATATGGACTGTCGCCATAGTCCTTCCTTCAAGAACCGCCACTCAGACATGTCCAAGACATCAGCTACAACTTAGACATTTTTTTTAAGCCACTGCTTATTCACATTTCCTATCAGGATTGGTTACATTTTTGCACTGCCAAATGTGCACAAAAAGAGGGTTAAGATATCTATAAAATATGACTTGTCTTTCTTAGACTAACTAAAATATTTCATTTCATTCATTGAAATGTACCTGAACATTATATGTCATTTCATTATTTACACAATAAATGCAATGAATCAAACTTACATGTCTTGCACTACAATGTACTGATGTGGGATCAGCCCATCCACGCCATTGTGCCGGCCCTCCCACCAGTCCGCCGATGCTCTCATGTACAGCAGCAGAGACGCTCCCTTCTTAAAGGACAGCTCCCTGGAACTTCGACCCACGTAGTCATATTTAGCGATTGCCTCAATCGGCTCAACATCTGCAGCCACCGCATGAAAGGGTTCAATATATATATACACAACAAATCTAATTATTTTCTCTGTAAACTCCAAATGCCACAGCTGTGATCTTGAAAGTGCATTGATCGAGTTTGTGTCTGACCTTCATCGCTTGTGTTTGGTCCGGTCCCGTTGTCTATTTCATCCAGAGCTCCCGGCTCACTGTGAGGGCTTTCACTGCCAAAGAAAAAAAAAAAGAAGGAATACAATAAATTAGAAAGAAACACTAAAAAAAGCATAATTCATAATTGTTAACAACGTTTAAACAAGTTAAATATCAGACTTTTTCCAAACATTTAGGCCTCTAAAAGTTAGATCACAAACTGATTTACTCTTGAGGTCTGAATTACAGTGAAATTTGATCTGTGGACCCAAACTACATTTGCAGATGGACAGAAACATAATTAGAAAAATATAATCCAAGACTTGACGCTGCGTTCAAAAACAAATTGAATTTTGCAGATATAGCAACTCATAAAGACATCATAAAAAGAATGACAACAGCACCAAATCTAACCAAGGTACAACAGACATCTTATTGCCTTTTTGTCTTTACACCTTAGGAGCCCTAAACCTCCATATAACATGAAGATTTAACTGGACAGCTATTTAATTTCAAACCAACATGAGTTAAATATGTTGTGCTTTTTTCAGGTGCAGTCTCTTTATTCTTTAGAATATTTTGTTAGGTCAGGGGCTCAAAGGTGAAAAGGATTATATTTTTATATAAGAAATAACAGAAGTCTTAAAGATTAGACTATAAAAATACTGCATTCTAGCACTTTGTGGGCCTTCTTATAATGTTGAACTTTTGGCATTTTTTCACATTATAATTAGAAAACATAGCGTATTTTATTTTTATTTTATAGGTGAGTTCAACCTACAGGAGAGAGTTGTTGCAAAAGAGAAAAAAAACAAACATGTTTTTCTCTTATGCTGACTTAAGTTGGTGGTGAAAGCTCTATATAAAATTTAGGGAACAATCTATCATGCTCCATCACGCTGCGGATTTATTCCTATATTGTGACTTCCACACATAGCTAAAACTTGTAAATTCAATGGATCATTACCAAATTTTGATAAGTGGTTCCTTGGCATTAGGTGCATCTCTGGTAAACAAATCCTTAAAATCCACTTATAACATTTCAATTAATCCTGCTTCCTTTTCTTGTGTTTTTGTATTTTTGTCTTCAGTGTAGTACCTCCGTTAATCCGATGCTGAAGCTGTCAATACTCACTGCTGCCACTCTATGGTTTAGAGGGAAACTGCTAGTTCTGCCACATTCCTATCGCACAATTTTAAAAAAATTCTGTTTAAAAAAAAATTCAGTGTCTGGATTATGATCTCAATCATTACCAAATCTTTATTGAATGTTTTTTGGCGTAGGCGCAAAAAAAAAAGAAAAAGAAAAAAAATGTATTAAATAAGATTAAAATAAACGTATAACTTTTCAAGTAATCCCGCTAAAACCCAACAAAAACAACCAAAAAAATATATAACTGCCTTGGCAGGGTTAATCATTACTAAAGAAGGTCCAGCCAATTGCCATTCAAACTCTGTATGAAAGCAGCTCAATAATGAGAGTCTGAGATACTGATGGAAAATGTAAAAACAGATACCAGAGAAAATAAGCTTATAACCATCAACCTAAACTGACAGGGTCAGGACATTATTAATCATAGGAACAGCAAAGAGGCTGATAGTGACTTGAAACAATCTGCAGCAAAAAACTAAAACATTTTGGTACCCTGATCAGATGGGACAAAATAGTAACTTTTAGCCATACATACAAAACATGTGCTGAGAAAAAGAAGCACAGCACACCACCCTGAGCACATCTCCACGGTGAGACAAAGCTGCCGAGGTGCTTTTCTTCATCAACAGAAAACATGTTTAAAGTTGATAGAGAGACGGATTGAGCTCAATACAATCGAGAAAAACCCGATAAGCAAATCTCTGAAGAATAGGGAGGAGATTCACATTCCCTAAAAATGCCAAAAGAATGGCCTAATCCAAAATTGAGAATCGGTGGTAACAACCAAAAATTTATGTTCATGAAGGTTTTCCATTTGATCTTAATAAAAATGAGCTATTTTGTAAAGAAGAGTCTTACAAATATTTCAGTGTGCAGATGTGCAAATGTGGTAAAGTCATATCCTGAAGCATTTGCAGTGGCAGTAGCAGAGAAATATGCTTTTACAAAATACCAATAGAGTCAGAAGAGCTTGAAGCTTATGCATGTCAAACTTGTCTGATTTAGATTTTTATAATATCTACATAGAATTCATACATTTTCTTCCACTCCACATTTATTTAGTTTGTTTCGGTATATCATATCAAAACTCAGCAAATTTCCTTAAACTTTGTGGTCCAAAGTTATAAATTATGAAAAAATAAATGATTTCAAATGGTGGAACAGAGACAATTTCAGGAGTCACAGAAAACAGGAAGCACATTTCTGACCATAAATAGCTGAACTGATACTTGTGAAATATTGGAGCAAAAATGTTGCCTTTAAGATAATGTGATACTTTCTCATCTGTCTACAGGAAAGATCTTGAACCGGTCCCTCTGGTAGACGGCAGCTCAAAGGAAGGCAATGGCATTTTCTTCACTGTTGGCCAGGAGATTGATCTTATTTAATTGGGTAAAGGCAGTTCCACCAACTCATAAACGATGGATAGAGGAGGTAATGGCACACCTAAAGCTAGAACATCTTCGATTTACATCACAGGGTACCATTAAGAGATATTTCAAGATTTGGCAACCTTTTATTTCTTATTTTGAATCCGAGGTTCAATCTGCTTCAGCATAATCAGCAGGGTTTTTTTTGGCGGAATTATTATCATTATGATTGTTACTCATACTTATGTTTTTGGTTTTCAATCCATGGATGTCTGGAACATGGGTTGTATGTGCGGGTGTTGATAGTTTTTTTTTTTTTTTTTGTGATGTCGGTGTGATGTAATTATGGAGTCGTTTTGTTTTGTTTTTTATGCCCTGGACTGGGTGTCTGTTGGTTTAATATGAAAAACTAATAAAAATAATTTGATTATTATTAAGATAATGTGATACTTAAAATGGAAATCTGATTTGACTGCTGTCAAAATTTATATTGTTAAACCAGGTTATTCATTAAAATACATTAAAGTAATCAGATGGTTGAAGCAAAAAATTAATAGAAACAATATCATAAATCTAGCTAGGAACTAAAAAGCAACCAGTTTTATGTGGCTTCTTTATCTTCCTTTACAAATCTAAGTGGGGGTATAAGAGACCATAATCATGTTCTTGTGGTACTCTATCAGCGGTAAGCCAATTTATACAGTGCTAAAGCTAATACGACATAAAAAAATTATTGGTCCTTTTTTTCTGTTTGGCAAATGGTTTTGTTTATCTATCAGTACACTTAAGAAAAACACTTATTTTATTGAAAGTAAAACTGAACCTCATGCACATGTTTGGGCTTTAAGATGCATTTTCTGTGTCCCTACCAGTACTCTTCCCCTCCCGCCATGCATTTTTCATAGACAGGTCCGTCCAACTCCCGCTGGCCTGGAAAGATGGCCTCATGGTGGATGATGATGGTCTTAATAACCTCATTTACGTGTGCTTGACAGGCCACTGGGTCCTGGTCATCCGGTATGGGCATCAGTGTGGGGCCGAAGCAAATAGCCAAGTTGTAAGGATCCATCATGTTCTCATCACTGTATTGGGAAAGACTGGAAAAGACCGCAGCACTAAGTAATAGTAATAGTAACTCTTTTAACTGTTATTGTGAAAGGACCTACTGATTAAGGAAGGCAAAGAGGTATCTCATGACAATTATCACTGGCCGCTGCAGAGTCACAATTATCTGCTGGAGATGATGTGCTCTTTCTGCACCAGATTCAAGCTCTGAAGAAAAATATGGAACAAAAATGGCAAAACTAAATATTTCAGTAAAGCTCAGAGGGATTGTCCTGTCATGTGACTTACTGGTGGTGGAGATAAAGTCAAGGAAACGTTCTTTGGGGAACAGTGGGTTTCCCAGCCCTCGGAAGTAGAGCTTGAGTACGCCTGCCACAGAGTTAATGTCATGATCTGTTTGATCGTCCACCAGTGGATCTTCTCCTGCAGATGGACCAAACATTTAATCCTCCAGTTAACCATTGATTGCAGCAACTTTCATCTAACAAGGCTCATATGCAGTCTCTAATATGATTTAAATCAGAGAACCATAATGCAGTGATGCTTACTCATTTAATATCACTTCAGGATGCTAATCTTATGTTTTATGCAGTAGGTGGTTTTCATGTCCATTACATGGCTACAAGCGACATGCAGCCCTTTTAATTGCACTTTAGAGTCCTCTGAGAGCTACAGCGGTTTTAAGGTAGGCAAAATCTAATTTAAAATCGATCAAAGGAAGGTTGGAGATGCAACCAGGGGACTAACCTCTTTCAAATGCATTCTTAATGTCATTGACTTCGACCTGAGATCCTGGAACACGGAATATACCTTGCTGCTGAAGACCTGCAGACGGATAGAGTCGTTAAGATGAAATGAATAAAAAAAGTGCAATAGACAAGACTTGCTAAAAATATCACAGGTGTTTTTAAGCTGCATACCTCCCACCTATATATATATATATATATATATATATATATATATATATATATATATATATATATATATATATATATATATATATATATATATATATATATATAAATATATAAAGGCGCTGTACAGAACCCTGTGGTTAAGGGACCTAGATGTCAGGCAACATGAGTGTAGCAGCCTGAATTTTAGCATAGTGAGGAGAAATTTCAATGTAGCTGCCCAATATGCTGAAATACGCAGGCAAGAATCATTTTCATTACAACAGAATACATGTCTCATTCATAAACCAATTGAACCATATAATTTGCAAAGAAAAAACCAAACTGTACTTTGGTGTAATCCCACCTCTACTGTATAAAAAAAAAAAAAAAAAAAGTATACAAGGTTTGTAACAATGACCTACCATAGAGATTAATGTATCGAATGCAGCTCTCAACCACCACTGGTATAGGCTGTCCTGAATCCTACATAGGAAAATACATCAGAATGACTGGATGTTTGTAAACAGAAAGCAAGTTGTAAAAAATTATAATAGAGGAAATTAAAACAGCAATGTTAATCTTATTTTTACAATTGGCAGCTAAACTGGTATAAAATAAACAAAAAAATAAACATAGATATCAAACATACATAAAATACATAGAATAGTATGAAACCAAACAAGTATATGTATCATATTCAGTATTAAACAACATTTTACAGTGACAGAAAGATACTAAGGGAATGCTGAGAAATGTAAGCAAAAGAAACCCACAGAGATGATCCCACCCTGCTTAAAGACAAAGTACCTGACTCCTGGCACGGACATTTCTTCTTCCCCTGGGCAGAGAGCAGTAAGGCATGGAGAGACAGAACAGGAGAGGAAACAACAACCACAAAAAGATTAAAGAGAAAAAGAGACAGATCGTAACAGAGGCCTGGCTTGAAAGAGCAGCCAAAGCTTAAGCGCCTTGCAGGGTGAGAGACAGGAGCATAGGGCCTGTGGCAGGAGGGTGAGCTAGCAATCAAAGAGCTTTGGCAAGGTCCAACCAATTTTTAATTTTTTCATTTCTTTATTTCTTTTCCAGAATTAATTTTTAATCTCTGAGTACAATACAGTTGTTTCTTCTTCTGGTTCACAGTTGTGAAAATAAGCAATTTAGCGATGCAAATGTTTTTTGCTATTTTTAAAACACCTTGTCAAACTTGGGGCAATTCACGTGCATTTTAAATACAGGTAACCTTTTAACCACAGTTTTTGAGAAGTTATTATTTATAAGTAACAAAGTGGGGATTTACACTCACCGGCCACTTTATTAGGTACCCGATGCTAGTAACGGGTTGGACCCCCTTTTGCCTTCAGAACTGCCTCAATTCTTCGTGGCATAGATTCAACAAGGTGCTGGAAGCATTCCTCAGGGAGGTTGGTCCATATTGACATGATGGCATCACACAGTTGCCACAGATTTGTCGGCTGCACATCCATGATACGAATCTCCCGTTCCACCACATCCCAAAGATGCTCTATTGGATTGAGATCTGGTGACTGTGGAGGCCATTTGAGTACAGTGAACTCATTGTCATGTTCAAGAAACCAGTCTGAGATGATTCCAGCTTTATGACATGGCGCATTATCCTGCTGAAAGTAGCCATCAGAAGTTGGGGACATTGTGGTCATAAAGGGATGGACATGGTCAGCAACAATACTCAGGTAGGCTGTGGCGTTGCAACGATGCTCAATTGGTACCAAGGGGCCCAAGGAGTGCCAAGAAAATATTCCCCACACCATGACACCACCACCAGCAGCCTGAACCGTTGATACAAGGCAGGATGGATCCATGCTTTCATGTTGTAGACGCCAAATTCTGACCCTACCATCCGAATGTCGCAGCAAAAATCGAGACTCATCAGACCAGGCAACGTTTTTCCAATCTTCTATTGTCCAATTTCGATGAGCTTGTGCAAATTGTAGCCTCAGTTTCCTGTTCTTAGCTGAAAGGAGTGGCACCTGGTGTGGTCTTCTGCTGCTGTAGCCCATCTGCCTCAAAGTTCGATGTACTGTGCGTTCTGAGATGCCCTTCTGCCCACCCTTGGTTGTAACAGGTGGTTATTTGAGTCACTGTAGCCCTTCTATCAGCTCGAACCAGTCTGGCCATTCTCCTCTGACCTCTGGCATCAACAAGGCATTTCCGCCCACAGAACTGCCGCTCACTGGATGTTTTTTCTTTTTCGGACCATTCTCTGTAAACCCTAGAGATGGTTGTGCATGAAAATCCCAGTAGATCAGCAGTTTCTGAAATACTCAGACCAGCCCTTCTGGCACCAACAATCATGCCACGTTCAAAGTCACTCAAATCACCTTTCTTCCCCATACTGATGCTCGGTTTGAACTGCAGGAGATTGTCTTGACCATGTCTACATGCCTAAATGCACTGAGTTGCCGCCATGTGATTGGCTGCTTAGAAATTAAGTGTTAACGAGCAGTTGGACAGGTGTACCTAATAAAGTGGCCGGTGAGTGTACACACGTTGTTTGGCAACTTTGCGAAACCCAAATTCCGAACAAGGCCCAGCGGAAAACAAAGAGGATTTTAAAGCTTCAACTGGTAAAATGGTCAGTTTATGTTTGAGCTTGAAAAAAAAACCTACTCAAGTCTTTTTGTGGCAATAAAAAAAGTTAACATCTGAATAAAATCAGTCTAGTAATGCCCTGTATAATCTAGAAATTCTCGTACTCATCATCTTCCTCTTTAGCAGGACTCTCCCAGGCCAGCTGAGAGATATAGTCCCTCCAACAAGTCCTTGGTTTTTCCCTGGGGATGCTCTCCGTGGAACATGTCTGGAATACCTACCTAGGGATGCATCCAGGAGGCATCAAGAGAAGATGTCCGAGCCACCTCAGCTGACTCCTCTCAATGTGGATGAGAAGCAGCTCTACTCTGAGTCCCTCCTGGATGATCAAGCTCATCACCCTCATCCCAGCCGCTTGTATCCAGGATCCTGTTCTATTGGTCATGACCCAGATTTCATGACCATAGGTCATGCGTCCTCATCTTACCAGCAGCTGCACCATTCCATCTATCAATCTCCCACTCCACTGTCCCTCACTCTTGAACAGGACCGGACAATACTTTAACACCTCCACTACATCTCCACTTGAGTCAGGAACTGTCCTCCAACCTGAAGAGGACAAACCACCTTTTTTCCAGTCAAGAACCATGACCTCAGACTTGGAGGAGCTGATTTGCATCCAAACCGGTTCACACTTGGCCACAAACCATCCCCGAGCGTGCTGTAGGTCTTGGCAGGAGAGAGGCGGAAGTATCACATCAACAACACAAAAAGTAGGGAGGAAATCTGCTGGTCCCCAAACCAGACCTGCTTCGGCCCATGGCTGTGCCTAAACATCCTGTCAGTTTAAGCATCTATGGATCATGTGGCCTAAATCTCTGACTGCTTCCCGAACCTCTTAGGATCAGTGCATCATGGTTCCCTCTGCAGGCAGTTGGCCCAGTTGGGGGATCACTCTTTAGGGCTTGACCTCGATCCGTCCGGGTTCCAAAAAGCTCTTATGTTTGTTTGTCATCCTTTTGAACCTTTTTGAAAAAAATTCCAAACTTAACGACACCGAGCAGTAATTTTGATTTAGGTTGTGACATGTTAATCCTGATTTTTCTTTTCTTTTTAAAAGGACCCAATCGAATGTATTTACCAATAAAAATTGTCGTTGTATTTATTAGTATCTAAAAATGCTTTTTCAATTATGACTGAACTTTGAATTTATAGGATTTGCTTAGAAAGAACCAATATACTGCATCGGTGGTAACACTGTGCCTTTAATCAAAGAGCGGATTAAGCAGCAGTTTCAGCTTAATGTTATTGTTGTGGGCTGGTGGTGCAGCTGCCAAAAACATGAGGCCATGGATTTATTAGCAAAGCCAACTACTCTGTATCAAGCCAAATTAATTCAGTTTCTGCTAGCTGGAGGCTCATAAGACTAGGAATTAAAATTTACCATCACATCACAATTTACCAGCTTTAACCGTCCTGTCCAACTGGAGAACTGAAGACAAGGCATGGAGCAAGAAGACAGGGCATGAATAAGAGAGTTGTCACAAGCAAAAATATCCCCTCCTCCCTCCCTTCCACCACCAAAGGCCAACTAGTGGAACAGCAGAGTTCATGGAGAAACAAAGCACACAGATGGGCTGATACCTGAATGAAGGCCTCCATATTGCCGTTAAACAGCTTACGGTTAAAAATGGAACGAGGTCTACACTTCCGTATTCTCTGGGGTTTAGGGGGAAGAGTGGGGGGCCTGGGGAGATGATGGGGATTACAGTGTTCAAATAAACTCTTACAAAAAATACTTACAATTGTGATTCTTTTTCTAAAAAGATTCCATGACAGATTCTACCCCATTGAAATAAATCTACCAAAAACAGACGATATAATAAAAATAAAACAACTGTTTTAGTACTTATGCTGAACAGAAAAACAAAGTAAAATTTCAACTTAATAACATATCAAATTATTACATAAAGATGAAACTTAATTAATTATTAATGAATCAGTGATTGGTTTCAGTTGCAGTACTATAGCACTACATAATATTGCATTATTATAGATTTTCCTCACTAACAGTTATATGAATAAAACTGTATACTGATTAAAGGATTCAAGTCTTATTTAAGTAAGCATTAATATTGTGATGCTGAAGATAGCTAAACAATAGACTTCGCTGTGTAAGTCATGTGCTTTAGAACAACAGATATTTTCTAATTATTTGGCAGTGCTGCTTTTGGTAAACAGTTAATTTTCTCTGTATGTTTCTGTGCAAACTAAAAGCATTACTGCATGAGTATTTCCCCATTTATCAATTTTTTTGTTATTCATCTTGCTGAAGCTGAATTTCCTTAAAAGAAAAAAAAATAAAAATAGCTTGAAAAAAAAAAGCTTTTTAGATGGCTTCTGAAGGAGACACAAGAAATGTGGCCAATCATAAAACCAGGGGAATTTTAATGGACACATTAGGTTTCCAGGCGGTGTTTCAGTCTCCTTAGATCCATAATGGTGGACGCAGCACGCGGCTGCATTAGTACCTTTTAACTTAAGATCTTGTTGGTAAACCTACATTAAATGACAGCATCATTAGTATTACTTTTTGATAACTACTTTTGTTTTGATTCATCTAAAAATGACGGAATGTAAATGTGTTTTCTTAACTTAGTCATTCCGTTCCAAAGACAAAGACACTTCAAAGTACTCAGAGTTAAGATTAACATCTAGTTTCATGTCAGTAATGAGTACTTCAAGCTTTTATCTTTAGAAAGAGTGGCCACCTTATGAAAGCTGCAATGTTCTTTTTTTTGTACTTTCTGGAACAGCAGCAAAAAAACATGACAGCTTGAGGGTTTACTTGCTGCTTGAGGTTTTCTTTCGCTTTTTGTGTCTATTTGGTGTACAAAAGAAAAACTAACAGGATGTTTACAGTGGCCTAAAAATGCAGCTCATACTCATGATAGTCCCTTCATTTATCTTTCAATCTTAACATTTAACATACATTCAACAAAAAGACTCAAAACCCCTACATTTTCATCTTCACTTGTACATTGAATATTATAGATATAATATTTAGAGGGATTTGCAGTGCCTATTAGAAGTGTTAAGAGAACCACAACTTTCAGACATCTTTACAATGTAATTCAATGTATTATGGGAGGACCTGTATGATAGACCATATTAGTGAATTACTGTGCAGTGAAATATGTATGATATGTTATCAATTTAACTTTAAACAATAAAACTTAAACGTGCTTTGATCTAAACAATTCCCATATGATTGGAGAAAACAAGAAAGGGGAACTGCAATAAACATCCAGCCAATCCAAACATTTTTACACCTGTTCAGTTAAGCTCAGCTTTCAGGTTCCTCTGACCAAGGCACCTACTTCTACAGGGTTCCTGTGTCCTCCATGGCTTGCAGCAAACCCCGAAAGGGACATCTTATGGCTTTTGTCAGCATTAGCTTTCTTTAACAAATGACATTCTAGCAACTAACAGCTGTTCTTTTTTTCCCCCCAGATTCTCCGAGCTGCAGATCTCTACAGCTCCTTCAGAGTTGTCATGGATTTCTTTGCTGCTTTTCTGGTTATCTCTAGTTCAGCATCAGGTTGGATGAAGGCCCTGCCTCTCAACAATAACATCCCTGACCCATCTCATACCTTCTTGGTCCTCCTGCTGTTGCTTAGTGATGTTCTTTCATAAACCTCCGTGACTTTCACTGTATGTATGTATTTTTGCTGAGATAAAATTGTATGCAATTACACTGTACTTATGATAAGGTTATTTCTAAAAGCAGTTGGTCATCATGCATTCTGATTAGGGGTATTCAAGGGAATGTGGCTAAATATAAATGCATACAAAACTTTCTGGTTTAGAAAGAAATGTGAAAAACCACAAATCATTTTGTACTAATTTATGTTGGTCTATCAAGTAAGAATACACAGAAACAAACTGAATACTTTTTGAATCAACATGAGAAAACATGGGCTAGTTTGAAGGGTGTGAATACTTATGTACAAAGCACTGTATAATGATACAAGTACTAGCTCATAAAATGATAGAGCATTAAGTGTGTTGTTTAAAATGTATCAGATTAAAACTAAAACCATATTGATTCAATTAGACAATTCCCAGGCAATTACACATTTTTTCTTTTTTTCCCCAATCAAAACTTATTACTGTAAAAGTTTTCCTTTTTTTGTCCAAGAGGAGTTTTATTTTACAAATAAAACAAATACATGTTTTAGCAATAATTAAAAATGTGAGGAAAACTTGTATTCCCACACTGTGTCTTATTTCAGCCACTGCTAAAGACACAGGAAGAATTTAACACATCAGCGCCTTCTTTATTCACCTTTTTGTCACTGAACATCTTACCTTGTTGTTCCATATTCAGCCCTCTCCCCTAGAAAGCAAAAGAAGCAGAGAAAAATAGGCCAAATTAGAATCAGCTAGTTCACAGTCACAGCAGTTAGCTGTATGGTTGAGTGCAGTCTGATTATACAAGGCTGGCAGATGGAGACGGAAAGGGGGAGTTATTCGGAAAAAAAGGGGGCATCTATTCAGCCAAACTGAATGGGGTGAGTGCCATAGCTGCATTTGACTTGCTGCCAGACAGCGGTCATTCAGCGGTCGTCCCCAGAAGGGGACGGCCTGTCTACTCTCTACATCCGCAAAGTGGGAAATGTAACCAGGGGCAACCAGAGAGGGAGGCTGAGGGAGCCGATTTACATAGCTCTGTGATTTCATGAATCCGTAGCACACTGGCTTAAAGGACTTAAGAAAACCATTTACAAAAAACTAGAATCTAGAAAATATATACTTTTGTATGAATTGATGCTAATAAGCACCATTATTTCAATCAATATTTCTCACACACATCTATTTTATTTCCAAATCATGTTAACAGTCAACCGAAATTCTAAAATATTATTTTGAAATATTTTTGTCTTCAAGCACAAACTACCTCAGTGCCAAACCTATGTAACTAAATTAACAACAAGTACTGTTTTACCTTACTGTCATTTAGTTATTTTACTTTTTTAAAGTTTTGCCCAAAGAATACATTCTTGACACCAGTTAAACAGTTACTGTCCTGGTTTTGACAGGGAAACATATTTAGCCATTAACTCGCCTAAGGTCCCCAAAGGTAGGGCAATGTAGCAAAAAGAATGCAGCCCAGCTGTAAACAAGGCTGCATAATGACTTTCTGCTCCAAAAAAGAAAGAAGGGCAGAAACCTGGGTTAGCTTCTTTTTGTCACTTGTGGTCATTTTGTTATAATGCAAGATAAATTGAATTTTTTTTGCATGTTTTACAGAGATAATAATTGTCTTAAACAGCTCCATATTTCTGGAATTTATTGTCTTATAGAAACATTCTTCTGTAAAAAAAGATCATATGGTTTTCTGGGGCATTTTGTGGTATTTATGGCTTCCTTTAAACCTGTCCTTTTCAAGTAAATATCTAACAGGAGGGTGCTGAGGACATAATTTGGCTTAGTCATTGTTATTTTTAACAATAAACCGTAACCATTTTAAACACATTTGATGTGTAACCAGGGTGCAGGCCAGTGGATTTTAGAACACAGCAAATCTTTTTATTCCACGGATATGCGTGGGTGTAATTTCTTTACTTTTACAGAATGACATGTTAATGTCATTGGCCTCTCTTTTCTCTAAAAATGTCACATTTAAAAAAGTTTTTTTTACATTTCTCACCTTCTCCAAGTGTCTGCTTTAAAAGGTCATGCTTAGCTTGCAGTTTGACAATAAGATTGCTCCCGTTCAAGTACTCTTTGTATTTCTGAAGATCAAAAGTGGAAAAAAAAGAATATGTTTTTAGGATTTTTAAATTACCATCATAAATGTGTATTTCAAGCTTCTTCTGCTTACTTACAGTAAAATAGAAGCCCTCTGTCTCGTGCTGATTGGCTCGCCTTTTAGCAATGCTTGCCTTGCTCATGTAGGAGTCAGAGGAAGCCGATTTTACAGACTCTGTAGATTGGCTGTGCTGGAAGGCGTCTGATACATCAAAATCTTCCACAGTTAGCATATCTTGAAGGGTTTGCATAGTAGCATCAAGGGTCTTCTTCACCTGAAAAAAAGACATCCAAGCAGCCCATAATATCATTATTAACCACTTATTCTTTTATACACAGTTTATGTGTCAAACCAAGTGATTTGCATGGAGAGGATAGTAAAGGAATACCTAAAACTAATGAGCATATTTCAAATGCAACAATCAGATTTTAGTCTGAACTAAGCCACATTATATCCTTTAACTTGAACATTGTACAAAGCTGAGTGAAGTGCATCACTTTGCTTGACCCCCCACTGATGGTTCCTTCATATAAGGTATACAGGTAGAAATAAGGCATAACAGATTTGTGATTCATTTACACAGCACAGTGACCTTTGAAACAGTCTGGCTGAGTTACAGTGACATCTCTGTATTTCTGTGTTTAATCTTTACAACTTTACATATTGAAACTTAGAACTTTTTCTTTTTAGCTTTGTTTCTCTGAGAGATAAAACCACTAAAATAGCTACTTAAGGAATCATATTTGGACCAAAGGAAGAACACATAATGGTTGGCACGCAGCTTCAGTTGATTTAGCTGGAAACCACCAATTAGGGTCGAAATCTGGGTGAAATGAAGGAAAAAACTACCCGAACTGTAAAAGTGCTGAAACCCTAACTTGATAAAATGAAGTTGTTTGGTTGGAGTGACCTTTGGCTGTGTTATATGAACATTATTGGTATTAGTCTGTAGTCCAACATTCTTTCATTTTATTAATAATCTTATGTTCATATGTAATAATCAACACATTGTGATTATTAAATTTTATTCTCTTGAGTTATTCATTTTATTTGATCACTTCTATACAATGCAACTTTCTATGCATGTCTTTTTCCATGTACAGCACTTTGAATTGTCTTGGTGCTAAGGTGTGCTTTAGAGATAAACTTGCCTTGCCCTACTGTTTTCATTAGCTCTTTACAATTTTCTCTAGCATAGAAAATAATCCTGGAGCAGTGCTTCAGGCTATTTTTTAGTGCGCTCAGTCTTGTTAAACATGTTTTAGGTTGAGACAGAATGCTGTTCAAGGAATTCAGTTTCTGGTTTCAGGTTTCTTCTAATAAAACGTTTCAATATTTTTGTTTGTTTGTTTTTTTAAATAGTCACTGCATGTTAAATTAAGTCAGTGCAACTAGATTGGAACTAATCCAATTGGCTTTCTATCCATTTACACTGTCTGTTTAACCATGAGTGTAGCGTAATTCAGGGGCAGAATCTTTCAAGGACCACATTTGTATACCGATTAAATCATTGTGTTTTGACAAACGCTTCCCCAATTCACGAATTCTCCTAAAACTCTATTATATACAATAAGCTCTCCTATTGTCTGATTTCAAGAATGAAGATCCAGAATATGCTCCACAGCCCAACATTTCCTATAATCAAGTGTGGGTGAAAGCAAATTGGTCAAGCTCAGGGAAAAGTGAGCCCAGCTGGTAAGTGCCGCCACCTGCAACTCTAAGCAACTTCTCTGGTCTGAGTAAGATTACAATTTCTGTTTAAAAAATCTGTTGTCCTGTCTCATGGTTATTTAATTCATATACCATTGTGAAGTAATGAAAAAAATGTCCGGAGCGATCTCTTCTCAGGAAAAGATCCTGGGAGAGAAAGCTTCAAGGTGTAAACACAGAGCTTTCCTTAACTGTCTACTGGAGGTATAATGAGCTCATCTTTAACATGTGCCTGTGACCATATTTCAACTGTGGCAAGTCCTCAAGGATTAATTATACAAAATCTGAACAAATAGTGGGGATCTGGATAACAATGTTACATTTTACTCAATAATGGGGTTTAACAATTGTACTTCATTATTATGAACCCGATTGTTTTTGCCGAATACCTTCTACAAATTTTTCTTTTAAATATTGCATAACTAAAATAGTCCCATGCCATTTCAATTAGTGCTGAAACAGTTAATCATGATTAATCAGTTATTACTATATAATTTAGTAATCCAATATTCATTAACTGGAGAGTACAGAGTCTAATAAATGCCATTAACTAAATTAGCCACCCCACTCAGAGCAGTAATTACACCAAAATTGTTAAAAAATATATATAAACATTTTGCATTTGAGATCAAATTTTATTTCGTCCATGAATATGCTGTATTTATGATGTATTAGATTTTCTTTAAGGCACCTTTTGCTTTATGATAATTAGACAAAAAAATTATTGACACATTATTTAATCAGTAAAATATTATAAAGTTGCAGCACTAGCTTAATTATTATAACAAAACTATTTTAAAACAAGCCTTTGCTATTTTATTATTCAATCTCGGTGCAATTATTTAGCAGAAATGTTTTTCTTGTTATATAACATTTTTTTTCTTTTCCTATAAATCACCAAAACAACCCAGAACATGTTGTTCATGTAATTTAGGAAATGGTTGCTCAGAAATATTAACCTGCCTAAACTTGCCCATACCCACAGTCAGAACAGTGATCAAAAGGATTGTGGCCCCAGTTATTAGGGAAGGATTGGCAAGGATGTAAAAAAATTAATTGGTAAAAGAAATGTACCAGTTCTCTCAACATAAGACTTAGTTGCATTAAAAGATTTCTATAATAGATATTAAGCCTTTTGAAAGAACATGTGAAGCAATAAATGTAAAAGGTGAATTTCTGAAAAAGTCTTGCCATTCTTTATACAATAATCTACCATTTTAACTGAGTAAAGGATAATAACTTTCAAGCTTTTTAATGATAAAAATCTTAGACAAAGATTCAAACAACCGCTACTGCAAAAATATAAAACAATAAATTATATATGGGTTAAAACAAAGAAAAAAAAAACATCCAGAATAAATGGATTCTTCTGGGTTATCAGCCTGCTTACTTTAAACAAGCACAATAGAGCTATCCTAACGGGAGTGGTCCCTTTCAGCTTTACCATGCACTCATCCTTTGCCTAGGGGGAAATTACTACCAATTAGATAGTTATAACACAATGTGTTAAATGCTATGGCCTTTAAAAACATGTAGCCTTTAAAAACTCAAGGCTACATTTGAGCAGAATACTTTCGCCGTCTCATAAAATAATGACTAAAATGTGTTTAATTTTGTGGCAATACGCCATAGATATAAACATTAATATGACTGTGAGCAAGACACTCCACTGATGCAATCTACAGTTGAGATTCTGGTGTAGAGAAACTCTCACCTCTTCATTTTCTATCTTCAGCGTGGCGAGGCGGGACTGCAGCTGGTGGTAGCGCATTAAGAGCTCTGTCTGGACAGGCTGCTGTGCACTAACCTGACACACCTAGGAGAGAAAAAAAGATAATCTTTTATTTAACTAAGAGGAAGGGCTAAATAAAGCCAGGAACATCCATCTCTGATGCATCACCACCTCCAGGCCAATGCAGCTCTTCAGCAACTCCTAGCCACACTTTAGTATTTTTCTCCTGCTACTTTTATCTCAGACCCTTTTAAAGCCATGTTGTTAAATCATAGGGTTTAAACTTTTCTCTTCAGTCAAGAGATAAATTCAATTATTGTGATAAATGGAAAAAGAAAAGTTTAAAGATCATGTTTCAAGTCATTTTCTCACACATTATATAGTGAAACTTTGTATGCATTGTCCTTCAATAATTTTGGGCTCCTTAGCCTTTATGCACACCAGAATAAGAGATAACAACCCTTAGCAGCATTCTTTTCGTCATTAAAGGTTAATTAAGAAACCTAATACAGTTGCTTCCAAAAAGTTAGAATCAACTTTAAATTATTAATTATAAGAAATAACAGCAGACTATAAGTGGACAGAAGACCAAAAAATGAGAATGCAAAAAGTGGCAGAGGGTGAAACAACCGACACCAGACTCACCTCATCCCCCATATGTGGTTGATAATCAAAGCGTGCAGGAGGACAGAAGATCTGACTGTGTGTGTCCATAAATCTTAGCTTGTCCCCTCTAATATCCATGGCATCTACAGCTCCTTCCAGTAAGTCCAAACCTTCATGGCGAGAGGTTTCCAAACTATATTCAGCAGACAGATAGGTCCTCATGGTACGTGCCAAGCTTGCATGGTAGCCTAAGTCACAGCACTGACCAAGAAAGAAATTAGATGGTTTAATCATTTAATATCACATTAAAGGCCTGAATAATGTACCAAAATAAAATGCAAGCGTTTCCTTAATCGAACTGGTTTCCACTTACATCTATCATGTCCGACACATCATGGATGTAATATTTGGCCACCAGGGCGTTGGTAGCCACCAGATTGAGTAGATAGTCATTCCGGGCCTTTGTGCATTTTAGCTTATTTTCAAAGTACTTTGCTTGCCTCTGGGGAAGGAAGAGGAAGGAAAAGTCCCATCAACAGGATGTTGTGTCATCCTAATGTGCTCAAAGAAAGCCTTACCAAATTACATTGATTGTATCTCAGTAATGCATCAATATATGTGTTAAGTGCATGGTGCAATACAAAGACAGGGTTTTTTTCTGGCAGTGTAATATTTTAACATAAATGCAAAACTGAAATGCATGGATTATAGTCCACATGCATTCATAGAATAGGTTTGCATAATCTTTTCTTCATCTTATCTACATCACAAGCCTCTGTATCTCATGAGTGTATGTCAACAAAAACTGACCTTCTCCTTCAGTTTCTCCATCTTCCTGACTGAACTTCTTCGCTGGGGACGTTCATCATGTCCGTGACGCAACAGGCCCACGCTGATGTCATTAACTTTGCCGATGTGCTTCTCTTCCTGTTTTTCTGCCTCCTTCAGCTTGCTTTCAGCACTCAGACTCTCACCGTGGTACATGTGGTACGTCTTCATCACCTAAAAAAAAGGGACAAAAATAAACAGTAAGACCAACAGTGAATTTCTAAATATAGGATTCTGAAAGCGAGTACAGTTAGTAACTAGCTTTCTAAACATCTAATCATTTTTCATCCAATTAAAAATTAACAGAATTTGATCCTAAATCTTAAGTCTAAATTGCTTTCTAAGTTTTTGGAAGTGGTCTTTTATATGGTTTTCTAAAGTGGCTGCAGGAAAAAATAAAATAAAATATTGGAACCACAGAAAATGCTTGAATATAGTCTTAATAATCAGCACATTGATTTTATTCCTAGATACAAAAACAGTTAAAATTGCTCTGGACTTTGATGAAACTAAGTAAAAATATTGCTGATGGTAATAAAAATTTAAAAAAGAATTACGAATATTTTAAGGATTACTTTTGTGAACAATTACAAAAGCGAAATCTTACATTCCAAATAAAATTTTGGAATGTAAGATTTCATCTTAGGTTTTAATAACAGTGGTACAAAAATTGTAAAATTATATTTATACACTGTCGAACATACAGTTATCTAAAATGTCTACCTCCAATTACCTATCTAGATTTTTATTATAGCAGTAACAGGTTCGTCTGCATGATAACTTCTAGAGAAATTAAGTTACAGCTCTCATAGTAGCCTTGTCTATTAGCGTCACATAAAATGTCTTAGAAGCACCTTTAAGAGACCTGCAGCTGTAGAACCGCTACCTGGAGGGTATTATTCCATACTTTGTCTAAATGGACCATCGTTCTAGGCTGGGATATGGTATACATCTGGTCTAAAACTGAACGGTGATTCAGCACATTATGAGACATTTATTAGAAATCTAAATATAGACATGTTTAAGCCCCAGCTGACAAGCAAAACAACACCACCAGACCAAGCGGGCTATATATTCTTTACTTGATGACGTGCACATTTTTTACATTTCATGTGTGCAATGGCATGGAACTTTAGGAGGTTTGCATGCCTGTGTAAATTCTCAGACATCTGTGTCATGGCAACACAAACAGGCTTAAATTGGAAGGCAACTGAACTTTCACTCAGTTTTTTTTAAGACATTTTGACACCCATCCAGGAGTCTTCTGTGGGCTCAAAGGGCAACCTTTACAGTAGTTGACGGGCTGATGTGTTTAACCCATTTAGGCCGGGAAAGCATTACCGCATTTCTACCATTCAAGCCGGGGGTGCTGTTGCGTCATTCTACCATTGACGCCGGGAGAGCATATAAGTCAAGCAAGAAGAAAGAAGTTTTTTTCAAGCAAACATGGAGGAGTTTGACAGAGAAGAGTTGTCGGAAGGCAGTGATTTTGAGGAGTGTGTCGGCTTTGATGACGGTATAGATGAAAATGATGACTTTGAACGCGCTGAACCAATCGAACTACCACCGCAATGCACGGAGTGTTTTCAACCGCACACCTGGAGTGAAAGTTGATTTGCCTGCAGACGCCACACCGCTGCAGGCATTTGAGCATATTTTTAATGAAGAACTTTGGATGCATCTTGTTACCGAGACGAATAGGTACAGTGACCAAACAAACCAAACTCCAACAAGAGCAAAGATGGCAAAGTGGTCACCCGTGACTGTGACGGAGATGAAGACATTTATTGGGCTGTGTATGTAAACCTCTCTTCAGGACGCAGTTCCCCCAAAATATGTCCCGGGACAGATTTGTGGCCATCTGGAGGTAGGTTGTATGCAATTTATAACACAGACATATGCATTATTATGCATAATAATACTGTTAATAAGTAATCATCAGATAGTTATTTATGTAATGTTTGTTCTTTATTTTGAAAACGTTTTATATTGCACATTCTCAATGAAGACATGATCACATATGGAAAAAATAAAAGGTTGAATTTTTTTTTTTTTTGATTACTGCTTTTCACATTTTTTTTTTGGAAGAATTTCAAAGATAAAATATATTTTGAGTTCTATCTGCTACAGAAGCTGAGATATCAATAATTTAGGCGTTGACACAGTTGCTGAATTTACAGAAAAACTTCAGGTTTTAGGGGTATTTTTTAAAATCGGCCATAGGTTTTTAAGGTGTTTTTTCCAGGCGTTTTAGGCCTAAATGGGTTAAGATGCATGAAGTACCAACCTCCTGCACACATTTCAAGTCTGATGCTAATCAAATACCCTTTGTTCTCTGGATTGTTGAAGCCTTTTGTTGAGCATGAACTCTGTGATTGGTCTTTGGAATCATAATGGGAGTGCTTATGTAACCTCTTGGGAATGAGTTCCATGACTGAATTCTAAATGCTTGGAAGCTAAAGCCACAATCCTCTCCCTCTGTTCAGTGATAGCTTCTCTCTTTACATAACGATAGATTCCTTGATGCCTCTTTCAAACCATCTGTCCTCCCTGTTCAAAATCCAAACATTTTAGTCTTCAAAAATGTGTCCTTTGAGGTACAAGTGTACAGTTGAATCTTGCCCAGGGCAGCTGGCTCTCCTATGCTGTGACATCTGTTTATGAATTTTTGTTTGGTTTCTCCAATATAGGAACCTGTACATACAGTCCTCACTGCATTGGATCACATACACAATACTGCTTGACTTAGGTTTGGGTGTTCTGTCTGTAAGATGAACCAGTTTTTGTCTGAGTATGGTGTTAGGTATGTTGAAATTCACTGGTATGATTTGTTTGGTGAAAATCTTTCGGAGTTTCTCACAAATTCCTGACACATATGGAATTACAATGATTTGCGTCTCTCCTCTTTTTTCCGCTATGATGTTCCTCCTGCTAGTTGTTTTGGCTGACTTAACAAGCGCCCAGTTTGATAACCACATGCTTCAAGTGATTTCCTAACAGATTTTTTCCTTTCATTTCTCCTCTGTAAATGAAGACATATTAGCAGGCTGGTAACTCAGTAACTCCAAAAGTGTTAAATTATGTTTTCAAGACTATGAACTGATAAAAACTTTTTTTTATGACACAATGTTTAAATCTGAACTAAATCTCCCTTGGTGTAAATATAGCTGCAGCCAACAGCTAAACTTATGCAAACAGCACAACATGCCACATATAATGACATTGCATAATGCAAACCAAAAATAACTAGTACGAAGAAAATACATTGCACAACAAATACTAAAAGTATTGCAATCTTAAAATACTGAATTATAGAATGTTGCAATTACAGGAAATAGAAAGAACTCAAAGTAAAAATACTGCAGTTTCTAAAAACAAATAATCTAAAAAAGCTGTAAAATGGTCCACAAATGGATGACTACCAGTGAGAGTTGACCAAGTCAGATGCAAACAAACCCTCAGTAAAGACATTATCAGCAGCACAGAGGATATTTGGGGGAAAAAAGAAAAAAGGCATGTTTTACTTCAATTTCTTTTTAAGAATGTGGCAATAGCATTGCTTATATTCTCTGGTTGAAGCATTGTTCTTTGGGTTTTTTGTGTGTTTGTACCATTCATATTATTACCTGACTTTTTGCTTTTTGCCACTGAGCTAAAAGAGCTTTGATGTGATACCTGCGTGTGTAGAGTAACCTAAAGCAATACAAGAAAAAGTTGGTATACACCATTCTTGAGATTATATAATAGTAATTTGGCTCAAAAAGATTGAGTGAAATTATTCTTTGGAGGAAGAAATCCCATGAATTTTAAGAAACACATACATAAAAAACATGCAAAACAAAGAACAGTTAATACTTTTTATCTGACCTTTTTTTTCTCCCCACTGTGTGTTAGATAGTACCTAGTTTAGGGGTCCCAATACAACTTCTTTACTTCCTATATGTTGCAGCTAGGAGAATTGACGCATACCAATATTGACCCGATACAATGTTGGCACAAGTCATACATACTTCTATTACTTATTCTGTACAGTAGAACGTTAGAAAAGGCTTGATCAGTGATATTGCTAAATCCGAGAACAATAGTCAAATGTAACCAGTATGAGAACAGCTGACAAATATTAGTGACCAATGTGATAAGGCAGTGTTTCCAACAGCATGACAATATTGGAGATTTTAGATGTAGACTGATATAATCAGATTAGATTTTTGATATTACATTAGAAAAGGTTACAATTATCTATTTTTTTCCCCTGTAGGATTTTATTTTCACTGACATGAGTTTTCATGTAGAAATATAGTTAAAGGTAGATTTGTTTTAGGTAATGAAAGACTAATGAAAGTATTTATTTTTATAGGTTATAGTTAGAGAACACTGCACATTTTCAATATATCTCAGAGCAATTAGAAAAGTAATTATGACATAAAAAGCAAGCAAGATATGAATTGCACTGTCTTGGAAAAAATTTAGGGTTTAACGTGTATTTTTTTTCTATTTGTAAGAAATTAACTAGCTTCTGTGTAAAATACTAGTTGTGATTAAGCTCATTTGAACATTTAATCAATAAATTCATTGGTGAACTTACTGCTCTGGACTTAATGCCTGACCTCAAAAAAAAAAAAAAAAAAAAAAAAAGGCTCCACATTGCGTAAACTGACTTAAGATATGCAAATATATAATATCATTGCTTAATAAAGTATCTCTGCAGGTTGCTCAATTTACAGACACATGATCATGACTTGGTGGAGTACAAACAATAACTGTATATGGTGCAGATGTGGTGTATTTTCATTTGACTCCGATAAAAGCATTGGCAGTCGTCTCATATTCACCATTCGCATGAGTGTTGTATTATTATTGATATTTTAAATGTTTGTCCACCATCTTGTCTTTGTTATATTTTTACACAAAAGACTAACGAGACTGCTATGATTGTCCATCCATTTAACTGCAAGTAGTAACATCAGACTCAACAGTCCGATCAAGCAACCCCAGCTTCCCCATCACTAGTTCTCAGGTTCTGGTTACCTAGCAACCCTGGCTGAAATGGGCGAGGAGAGGACATGAGATCGATCAGCAGGGGGTAGAAGGATGTAAAGTGACACAGAGACCGTCTGTGCTGCAGAAAAAACAACTAACAACTGACTGCATCAAATATTTGGTGGATAACGGTTTCCTTACTTAATCAGCCACTGAAAAGTCTTCCTAATACAACAGTCTAAATGAATTACACATGCATGTATAGCCTTTAGTTTCACTACTGAAAAGTTGAAAAGACTTTTGCTACCCACTGTGCTGTGTCTGTGTTGCAGACAGGCTTTTAATAATGCATGACTAAAAAATGAAACGAGAAAAATCAATAATGCTACTGGTGAGGTATACAGTACCATGTAAGAAAATTTCCTCTGATGTTTATATCGTGCTGCTTTATTCTCTTTTAACCTTTTTCCTAATATGAGCATTTTAAACAACTATCACTATCAGTATATATCATTTTAACTGGTGTTTCAGCTGCTGTGGTTTCACTTTGTCTACGCAAATCTCTTTGTAGTTCAGTCAAAAAGTTTCAATTCAAACAAGCATGCATCTGTTGGATCTGTTAAAGGAATTGTAAGTTACTTTAATGCTATAATTTCATGTCCTCCCTTGCCAACATGAAACAATCGTGTTAAGTAACTAAAGATGCTTGAATAGATACAATAAATGCCTGAATTGCTTCTTTTTTCATTTCTCATCCTAAACATTAGTGTAGGGGTTAGAATACATTAGGAGCATACAAACATACAGTTAGATGTTTTCTCCTCCTTTCTACCCCTTGGTCAAATCTCATTATTTAATATTTCACTTGAAAGCTTTATTTTCTTTACATATGTAATTTAACAACAATATCAAATTCACAGTTTATTTTCAGTAGAAACAAAACCGTCAGTATAAATCCAATTCCTACCCTTTATGAAGGACTTAACCTGTAAACCCTGAGGGTTTCACAAGCAATTTCTGTCTTCAAATGCACAGCTAAAATAAATAAAAAGTAACGGCAGAATTATCAGGCCTACATGCCCCCTTTTGGTATCATTGTAAAGGTTGCCTTTATCCTCATAACGGAATCTGGCTGATTAAACGTGCTGATTTCCATTGCAGGTGTCCATCTACCAGTGGCAGGCTTTGGTCATGACATTTAATCTGTATATCATCATCTATGTTCAGGGCACTCCATAAAGCTAACCGTGCATAAAGCCTTGGGGTTCAAAAAGTGACTGCTGCCGTTTAACCTTGCTTTTGTTTGAAAATTTCAGCACCTGACAGCGTCCAAAAAAGATGTACAATAGGTTGTTGGAAAGATATGACCGACTGGTTCCCGAAGATACTAGTTATGAGAGGCAAAGGCATATTATATACATGTTACACATTTTTCACAGAGAGTCTGCCATGTTTAATGGAGCCTTAAACTGCATATTCTGTGTTTAAGGGGTATTAAGGGTGTGATAAACAAAAATTCACTGCTAGGTGTGTTGTCAAGCTCTGTTTGTAGAGCAAGATTTCTAAAAATAAACTTCTTTCTCTACCTTTACTCCAGCGGTAACCTCGTTAACCTACTCACCCGTCACCTCAGATGGGGACATTAGCACAGGATGAACACACAACAAAACAGCTTCACTTTTCAGAACTTAACCAGTGAAGTAAGAAACTTTTAACTTTATAATGCTTTTACCAATGAGAGTTTACTTTCACATATTATGATCATTAGATGAGTGTTTCGTTTCACTGGACACACTCTGCCACTTTGCTGCTACGCTATGCTGCTCTGACCTTTAATGAGCAGGGAGGAGCTAAGCTCTGAGTGGCAGCTGTGACAATAGACGTACATCTACACATGGATGACCTGGCTTGTGAATAAGAGACTAGAGAACAATAGAAAGATAAAGTGTTTAACGTCATTCTATCTAAAATTATAAATGATCACATATTGCTCCTTTAAAGATTAAATTAAAAGTGTATTGAAGCAAATATTTTTCAAAAATCATCCAGTCTATGCTTTTTGTAAAACTGTGCATAATCGGCTAAATTATACTTAACCAATATTAATAAATACACATTTTAAAACATGACTTCAACTTGGAAGTGTTATGTTCTTTGGGATATTGCAGATATTGGGTTTTTAGGATTAAACAGTAAGTGGACATTGCTAATCTCCATAAAAACATAAAAGCTTCAATGTGTTTTTTATTTATTTCCCTGTTACATTGGCTGTGCAGAGGGACACGCTACACACCACTGGGCATATAAGGAAGAGTTGCCCAAGAGATTCCCCCAGCATAAAAACAAGAAGGTTTGTGGACATTAAAGAGTTGATTCTGCTCTAAACAAACTCTAAGAAGATTGCTGTTGTGGCCTTTTCTGCTAACTTCTTTGTAGTTTGTAATTTCTGCCAATTTAGTTTCTTCTTTTTCTTCTTTGGGTAGTTAGAATATATTTCAGTTGATTTAGAATCAAAATTTGTAATTCTTTTTTTCTGGATGGGTGGTTTTGAAAAATTATTTTTGACAATTTTTTTAGAGCTTCAAACATTAAATGAACATTACTTTTCATCTCGACTAAGTTGCAAGACATTTTAAGTAATTATTTTGCCTCTGCTTTTACAATAAATAAGTCAAATCTGAAGTGCGTACTAATCTCAAAACCACCCGTTACCAACCACAGCCGTTGTTGCAAATTTTGGTCCTGGCATAGGAAAGTACGCATATCTTTAAAATGATTTGTTGATTGTTTACGTCTGGGTCTGATGCATTTTCTTCATACACACTATGCATTTCCAGACAAACTTAAACACGGCAGAAGTACCTGCTTCTGCCTGGTTTACCTTGCTATTAAGATTTAACTTAACATTCTTCCACAAAGCTGACATGTTTTATTTTGACACTGTGGCTTTCTTCCTGTCTGACAGATGACTTTCCTGTGAAATTGCTGCATAGGTTGAACCAAAATACACAAGGTTCTACCTAAGTCAGAGCTATGCAAGCGTAGTTTCAGAAAAACTGGTCAAACTGACCAACCCCATGCATTTCAATGAGATGTAATTGCCACAACTTGATAGGGTCTAATTTTCAGTCAAATCAGATGCTACCTTGTCTCACTTCTGGTCTAGTCATAAAAAAAGCAGCAACAGAAGAAGAAGAATGGTAAGTGGATGAGTCCAGTTCCAAGATGGTTCAGTGCTTCCCAATCAGTTGTTCAAAGCAACCAGAAAAAACCTACTGGAGTTTCATTCTTCTGCCTAATTGGTTAATTTATGCACGTTAAAGAGGCAGGAGTTTTTACAAGGAGTTGTAGTAAAACTACTCTGATCTTTCATCTGAGCTTATCCAGACATGCGTCTTTGCGCGCAGAGCTCTGAGTCTATACTTCACGCTCCACTCTGGTGGTTCGCTTTCCCCAGTATGGCTCGTCCATCGCTACTTAATAAACTATGCGGCTGATCATCTTCTGCCAAGCGTAATAAATCTCTTTACTATCACTTTGTTATTTCTTCCAGCTCACAACAAATGATACTAAACATTCTTTAAGGAATCCCTAAATTATATCCAAATAAAATATTTAATTTCATACTGTTTATTTTTGGATAAAGAGCCATTTTCCTCTCTGATCTTGTTTCTTTTTATTTAAATATGATGTAAATAATTCCTTGTATTGTCATAAAAACATTTCCTTGTATTGTCATTAAAACATTTTCTATGTTTCCTTTGAATATTTCAACATTTAAGTTAACATATTCATTCAATTTACCGGTAGGTCTGGATTGCCATGGCAGTATGAGGCAAATATGTAGGTTCTCTTTGAATTTTTTTTTATATCAAAACCCTGTGAATTTAAATCTACTTTGAGCCCTGAGCAGCGGTAACTAAGGTTCAAATTCTCAGAAATAAAGCCAATATTGTCAAAGTAGAAAGAAGAATGATTTTTTTTTTTTTTTTTTTTTTGGCTTTTTTGGAGCAATGACGATTTTTATTGATCTGTGTGTAATGCATAATTCATAGTAGATCAGAAGGTGTTTGCTTTGGGATGGATTCCTTGTATGTCTAAAACAATACCTTTATTGTACATTATGTTACCTTGTCTGTCTGCTATAACACCCAATATGATGTGTTGAATTAGATCTGTTATTTTCACAACTTTTGTAAGACACTTTTTTTTTTAAAGTAGGGCACTAATTCATAAAAAAGTTTATTTATATTCTATAAATCAAAGTTTTCTGCCAACAGCAATGATGAAATGAATGGCAGCATTTTATACCCAGCTATTGTAGTATCTAGTCTAGAGCTGTCAATCTGGTAAGGAATCTGGTTGTTATTTCCACATTGTAAAGGTGAACTTTTTTTTCAACATAAAACTGACTAAAACTACACTTTTTAGGTTGTAGTCGACTTAAACAGACTAAAACTATCACATATTGTAATGACTAAAATGTCACTAAATCTAATAATAGTTTTCCTCCTGAAGATTAAGAATAGGACAAAATCTAAGATGGCTGTCAAAAACAACACTGGTTACATCATATACAATTTTAACCAGTTTTACAAAATAATTTGTCAAAAAATATACCTAACAGTAAAAAGTGGTTACTGTGATTTCTGGTGCAATTTACTGCTTAGGGTGAAAAACAGTTTAAAGCAAAAAAGAAAAAAGAAAAACAAAGCTGTTACAGGAATCAACGACAAAAACAAACTTTCCTCTTCTTTCACAACCTCAGCAGAAGGAAGAGATGGAGATAAAAGCCTGCTCTGTTGATAAGGCCTATCTGCAGCATACAGCGTCTGGCCAGCTGCCTCACAGGTTATGGGGTGGGGTTTAAAGAAGTTGGGCTCCAGGGCACAGACAGAACATTTGGCTGGGAAGAGGAGTGATGTTGTATAACTTACTGTGTAGAGTTCATTGGTGACTTTCACCAACTCTTCATGCATCTGGACCCCGATGTCTTTACTCTGGAAGTAAGAGAACAACAATACCCTTAATGGAGAAATGAAATGCAGAATGTATACATATAAATATCACTACTGGTCTAGTAGTTATCACTTGAAAGCTTTGTGTTGGTTTTCCATTGTTGTGAAGGATGTCAGTAAGTACTGAAATGCTGTCACTGCTCTGCAGCTCAAATGATCTAACACAATGCTCAGAGAGAGAAGGATGACAAAAATAGAACAGTGCAGTCATTGCAGACTATTTCTCATGACTGAGAGTCACCGCTTCAGCTCAGTTACAGAGAATAGGAGCATATGATAAATTGGACTTTTCCCACAATAGGGCATTTAGCCAAAGAGAGGAGGAGAACGGTGCCAGCTCCAGCGGTGAGTAACTCTGGAAATCCTGTGAAGTGGATAAAGAAATTTGCTATGGGCAATTTATCCTGTTTTGTTGTCCACTCTAAGATGCAAGTCTTCAAAAAATTCAAACCTTACATTTTCACAAGGTTAAAGAATAAGACTTCAGCACATTTGGTTCTTAAGAAATTGTCTTAACAAGTGCTAAAAGCAAATCATTCTAGTCACCGCATGTGTAATTCATTACCATTAAAACAGTACTGGAGCTGAGCCAGGATGCTGCAGCAAAACAGGATTATTAAGATTAAGAACTTTAAGCAAACTTGCTGTAGTAGAGTTTCAGCAGGTGGCCATTAGGGAGCTCTTTTTACCCAACTAAATACACATCTTTATTTTTGTATTAATGCACCCTCTTAAGAGAAAATAAGAACGCTTGAAATTGTTTATTAAGTGTTAGTGAGAGACACATTTCAGCTATGCAGCAGCCTTGTTGTGTAGGCTTCTGTACATTAGAGGGCAAAGCTACAGCAGTTAGTAAAGATCTGATGATTTATTTTTGTTCACAAAAAATGCATTAAAAATCTATTTTATAGAGGATTATAGTGATACACATCTAAACATGACAGCAGGAGTAATTAGTAACCCATCTATAATATCAAATATTTGTTCCCTTTACTAAAGATTATTATGCATGTCTGTTATTATACAGTCTAAAGTGTTACAAAATGAAATTTTATATATTTTTTGTGTTTGATGATGCCTAAACCAAGATCCCAACGGGGTACATAAGATATGTACTATGAGCTTTTCATAAATCTGCATGTTTTTAAGGGTCAGAGTTGCATTCTGACCTTTCTGAAGAGTCTGGTGACATCCTCGCCCACATGTGCCAAACGGACAATGACGTTGTTGTTATAGATGTCGCTGAGAGTGGCGTGGTCTCTGCTCTCCCGTCGGGTCTGGTCCAACACCAAATACCAGCAGTTCACAGTAGAGATTAAATTTTGGTCTTTTCTAAAACACACAAAGTGAAAGACACCTTGTTAGAAGGAATACATTTCTTGAAGTATTGCTTATATCTACAAACAGCATCAAAAAGTCCAACATGTACCAAATGTTTCATGTTTTATGGAAATCTGATCAAAGGACATGGATTCTGAGAAACTGGCAAATAAGAAACATTAGGGACAATGACGACCTTCCCCCTCAATAAACCCTATGGTGCATCATTAGATACAAAGCAGTTAGTTGACCAATTATGGATGAGGAAGCCAGAGCATATAGAGAAGAATCAGTCAAACAAAGAAACTCCTTATACACACGCACACAGAAACACAACTGAGGTATGCTGGTTGCCTGGACGCTCAAAGAAGCATGTGATTTCAATTATCCTCAGACCAAATGGTTTGTTTATCTTGTTGGTTTGGTTTTTTTCCCCAATGAGGATGTGTTAGTGTTTTTTCTACCCTATATGCTTTGGATTAGCCTTAGAAATGCAGAATGACATGACTATGTTTAATGCACTATTTAAATCTTTAAAAGAACAAATAAAGGGCAAAGGGCTGCTTCATTTTTGATGTTTGTACACGTTTAGGTCAGATGTGCCTCCAGAGCATCTTTGATGCTCCTGAAGCGCATCTAGTAAAGTGTGTACTGATGCATCTGATGCTTGTGCTGCTGCTGTGTTCAGTGGTAGGGAGTGGCTTTGCTATATTTCCTGTGATGAGTTGGTAAAAACTAATTTTAACATGTTTTAAGTGAGAAAGGCCACCTCAAAACATTGTCTGTGCATTCAGTTCATCAAGATTACGATCATAACAGAACTGATGATATGGAGAACCGGGAGTATTCTCAAAGCGCCGACCTGAGATTGGCCTGCTAGCCTGCGTCTCTCTCTCTCTCTCTTTTCTTTTCTTTTTTTTAAAGCCTGCCAGTGCAGTGGCGGCACGCCTGTCAGAGAGGTAGGCCAGACCACTTAGGCTAGTAGCATGTGAGGCTGGAAAAAAAGATTGGTTTATTTCAATTAACCCTCGCCCCAACAGTCAATATCAACCACACAGAGCAGTGCGTGGAGGAAGGGGCGTGTGACCTGTCTGGTGCCAGCTGCTGCTAAGATGTGTGTAGCTAGCAACCTTTGCAAGTTAGGATAAGAAGCAATGGACGCAGTCTTCGAACGTGGTAAAAGGAAGAGGAGAGACTGGAGGCGGCGGCCAAATGCAGAAAAGTAGCAGCAAAAATGACATTTTTCCAACTCCAGCATTTGCTGCTGTTGATGCGCATCATGCGCTCAGATGCTCAGGAGTTCATAAGGCATTATTTCAGCTGCTCAGATACGTCAAGATGGGCTGCTCCTGCTGCAAGAAGCGCATGCGGTGTGAACGTAGCGTTAGATCCTCCACAGGAAATTAGGGCGTAGCTAAAAACCCTGGTTGGTTCATTAATTTTGAAGTCTGTTTCTGTGCTCAGTATGGTTAAGGCTTGGCTTTATACTCAGTATTATACTTTCTGATTTTGTCAGTGTTCTTTTGTACAAATGGATGATGCTATAACAAAAAGACCATTCTACTAATGTTTTAATGAACTGCTCTGCATCAAAAGAAAAGGCAACCAAACAGCTGGCATCTATTTTTATTTTGTTTCTTGAGCTCTCTAGGAAAATTGAAGCAAGAATCAGCTAGTCCTACAAGCTCTCCTTTCAAACTGAGCTGTTGTTTGATCCTGGACATGCCTTTGAGATCAATGAAAATGTTTGCCTGTCACCTGCTTGAGTTTTAGGATGTCTTTTCGCATTTAGGCCTCCACCTGAGCTGTTTAAGGAAAATAATAAAGAGGTTTTCCACTCAACATTAAAAGAAATATACCTGCTTTACAGCATAGTCCCTGCATTAAAGAGACAGAAAACTATGTTCAGCTACTTTTTACAGACAATGCAAAACACAAACTGAATTTCTAATTGTTAAACATGATAAACATGCTGCGCTTTGCAAAACTATTTATACTCTTTGTTTTTTACCCTTTAATATATTTTATTGGGCTAACAGACCAGAAAAATAGCGAGGGTAGTCACTGCATAACCATGGGTGGAGCTAAACCAACATTATTGCACAAAGCATTGGTGACATTACAAAAAAGACATAATTCTGGTTAATTATGAGGACTTTCATGAGCTAATGCACTTCATGGAGCCTCTCCATAATTCCTCTGTGAGAACAAAATTAACCACCCATCCAGGAGGAGAATGTCCTGCAAGTCAATGATTCAATGCAATCAACTGGTTTTCCTTTACTTTTAACCAGTCCGACTGTATTGTCTCTATTAAGTTCATTGAGATGACACGTGCTGTGAACTGGAGCTATATAAATAAATAGAATATGATTTAGAAGAACGACAAACAGCACAGTGTCACTCCTACCACTAATTGTTGGCTCGCCTTAAAAACAGAGACCTACAGTATATCAAAGTTACCCCATCTTTAATAGCTTTACATTCCTGTTAGTGGTTCACATTTTTTCTTCTATTCATCATATCCTTTTATTTATAATCTCACAAATATGTCTAATAATATGCGATAAAACTTTTTTGTTTATTCAGTCTGTATTTAATATATCTGGCAAGAAAAGCTGTTGCTGCAAATATAGTGATAATAATTTGCTCACCCAAGTCCATACTTTTCTAAAAAAAAAAGAAAAAAAAAAGAAGTTTTTGCATCTGGGATTAAATGTGAAAAGGCTTAGGAGATATGAAATACTTAATGGATATAAAGACATTGTCCCTTATCAATAATAAATGTGGTTAAAAATAAATGTATCCTGTTAAATATGTATAAAAACGCACCTTTTCGCGACGCACCAAACGCAATGCAGATCGGCTGTCCCAACAGTGGGATCATCATAGCTTTCTTTTCATACCAAAAATAAAAATAGAGGGTTAATATATGACTAACAGAGCTACTTTTAATTGTAGTTGTAATAATAAATTTGTTGTCTATGCGTCCATCCATCCATGTCCTGAAGAGCTGGTGTTTGGCTGTTTAATCCAAGAATTATTATTTTTTAATTAACAAGCTTAAGTCAAAATTTATGTAGGCAGTGTCTCCCAAATATTTTCTTGGTTTTCAAGAATGGCTCATTTTCACTGTTTTTTTGTTTGTTTTTTTTCTTTTTACTGTTATAACAATAGTGAAAGCTTTGTGTCACATTGATGCTTTTTAAATAAAATCTTATATGCAAGTGTGAAAGTGCATTGACATCCAATGCTGACTGAGTGCAGGGTTAGCTTATCTTTATAAAAAAACTTCTGGGTCATAAGAAAAACAGTAGTTATAGAAAAACATTTCTTTTTATCAGGTAGACTGACGGGGGGAAGGTTGTCATTTGCTAAAAGACTAATAAATAAATAATAAAACAATATAAATAATTCCCTAAAATAAATAATATGTTTCCAAAGTATCAGTTTCTGCAAGAAAAAAAATTACTTTGATGCAGTTTTAACTGCATTATCTTTACAGCATCTAAAATAACATTTAAAAGACGGGTAGGGAGCAGTCATTGTTGTGTGAAGCAGTCACACCAGTAGCCCTGAGTTCATATGTGATGATATAGAAAATATAAAATACATATCACCAATTTCTGACTTTTCCTGGAAGATGGCTGGGAGTTAAGGTGATGTGAGCTGAAAAATCCATAAATGTGTTCAAAGAAACAGAAATTGTCCACATGCTTAGAAGTTCAACATGTTTTAAATATGGATCAGAAAATTAATATTATCATTTCTTTTTGGGGGTGGGATTGGGGGTACAGTTTTCTATTGGTTCCTAGAAGGGGCTTACGCACACACAGTTTAAAACTCCTGAAACATCTAAATTTAACTCTTTTTTTTATTGTATTGTAATACATTTGGTATTTGGCATTAGTTAATACTGGGAGAAAGAGAGCAGTTGACAATGCAATTTCCTTTACGATCAATAAAGTTGCTATCTATCCTTTTTTATTTTTCATTTTACTCTTCTGGTAATTTACCATTAGATCAATAAACTGAATGAAAAAAATTCAGAACAGAAGTGAAAGTGGGTTATTAATTAAACCAACCAGACCTTCCAGTTTCTTCTACAAACAAAAGTAGCTTTTGACAGTCAGTTATAATGGTGATCATTTTTTGTGTGGGCAAAATGGGACAGTGGGGGGTGTAGCGAGAAGTTTCTACAGGAGTGTCACTCTAAGGGAATGCTCCGTTAATTAACGTTCTAATAACGGGAGCTCTCAGCCACAATTACACTTTGGGCCCAAATGACAGAGGAGAGACTGCATGATGGCATTAAAAAGAGTTTCCCTTTATAAATTGTTTGTAAGAGCCAGCCAATTACCACATATAGCTTAGCATATGAATGTGTTATAACAACTGAACTAGGGCTGCAACTATTTGCGCTGTCAATCCCGGCGCATGCGCGCTTCATTTGCAGTCTGGACGCTGAGGGTAAACTCCTCACTAAAATCCTGCGGCACTGACTGCCGCGCTGAGAGGGATTCCTGTGGGAGAGGGAGAAATGGGTTGGGATGGGGGAGGCGCCCCACGGCAGAGTAGGAACGATACATGCTTTGACGTTAAGGAAAGCATCAGATGAGCTACCTGAGAAACTAACGTTACGTTTCCCCACTTTAAAACCAAACAATCATGGTGGTTCCGTGCCATGTTAATTTGTTTTGACAAGAGTTGCATGTTACGACTTTTTTCACTTTACAAAGCGCAGGCTATTTTAATTATTGTGATCAATTTGCGCCGTCAATCCCGGCACATGCGCGCTTCATTTGCAGTCTGGACGCTGAGGGTAAAAATCCTGCTGCTCTGACTGCAGCGCTGAGAGGGACTCCTGCGGGAGCGGGGGGAGGCGCCCCACGGCAGAGTAGGAATGATACATGCTTTCACGTAAGAGTCTCAAAAGCCGCCAGTGACACCGTAAAAAGTCGCCAGATTTGTCGCTAGTCGCTTTTTTGAAAAATAGTCACTGGAGGGGTCTGAAAAGTCGCTGAGTTGGCAACACTGCCCCTCAGCGCTGGCTCGCTCTGCCGTATTTTTTCTTCTTCTCCCGCTTCAGTCAAGTGGATGTGATGACGGCGGCGGCGGATGACGCATTAATCGCGCGACACAACTAATCGATGATGAAATTCGTTGCCAACGCTTTTAAAAGTCGATTTTTATCGATTTTATCGATTCGTTGTTGCAGCCCTAAACTGAACATTAATACTGAATGTGATACTGCTAATCTGATACTACTCAATATATTAGCAGCAACATAGAACAAAATATTATTGGACAGAAATCACATTTTGTAATCATAAGACTGACATTTTCAATCAATGTAAAGTCTCTGATGTGAAGCTCCATCTGTTATTCATATGAGTCCCATTTGAGAGGGGGAAAACATGACACCCTGTTTTTTGAGACTTGAACAAAGTTGCCCATTTTTTTGATACCATGGCTAAAAGTCTGACAATTTTTAAAAAAGATTTTAAAAAGCTTTAAATGTTTTAAGCCTCTTACATCCTAAGGTCCATTTCAGAAAACCAAGATTAGAGATTCAGCTGGGGTTTTTATGGATATCCTGGCTTAATTAATTAAGTCTCAACTCTGTTTTACAAAAGCATTAATACATACGTTAATGATTTATTCTGTGGAACTAAACTGCTCTAAAACAGTCTAATAGACAGACTTAGGTAATCCTGGTGCGTCACCGTTCATTCACACAGGCTCCTTCATCCATGCATCCTCAGTTCTGTCATAAAATGAAGCTTTTTTTGCCAGCGTCGTACTTTATTTCCTAGGGACTTTGTTGAACTGCAGCATGACACAGAGGTCCCCTCCATCAACCATCAGATATAAAGATTTAGTCTATTTGAGACGGATGATGGAGCAACATCTGTCAGTATCTAAAAACCTGACATGGAGAAAGTAAAGCCGATCAGCTAAATCGGAAATCAATACATTTTGTTATAAACATCTCTTTATACATGACTATTAGAATTTACTCTGCCGATATGATACACATAGCATATTTCCATCCCTTATTAGCTAGTCAGCCGTTGATCGTTTCTCTTCATTGAAAATATTCATATAAAACGTGCAGAAGAAAACCTGTTATTTTAAAATTTATCACACAGCCTTCCTTGATCCATGTTTTCAGCTCCTCAGAAAATGTTTTGCCTAGAAGTAAGGCTGGATAATATGTCCAAAACAATACAATATCATTTCATTGTTGATATAAACAAAATGAAAGATAGACTGCCAAGAATGCCCACATTTGCCTGTACAAAAATTATATTTTGACATGTTTAATACTTCTACCACCCCTACCTTGAAGTCACATTAATGTTACTGTTATACAGTCATATTAATGCCAAGTTATTCTCAATACCAAAATTGAAGTGATCAGTATCTGGACCTAGACTGTCAGAGTGTATTGTAGGCTAGTCAAAGCCTTGTCTCCAGCATGCTGCTGGGTGTCTTTGCTGCATAACGAATAATCAACAATACACCAGAAAAAGCTTAACTTAGGAAAATTAGCAATATATCACCCTATTTCAGTACCATTACATTTGTAAATGCTGTATAAATTGAAAATTTGAACATTTAGGATTTTATTGTGAAGATTTTAAAACATGTAAATGAAAATATAGCCAAACAGAATAAAAGAAGGGGGGCTGGAGGGGTTGGTAAAGAGTCTGACCTAGTTGGAAGAAACACAGCAGCCTGGGGCAACAAGGCTTCTTGGCCCTGGATTCATTTCAGGTCATTTCCTTAGCTTTTGTCCCTCCTCCCTCTCCACATTTTATTCCCCCTCTGTTTTCCATTGGGTCTGCAGTCACGGAGATCAGCATGGCACATATGTAACATTTGTTTATCCGGCATTTCTCTTAAAAAAAAAAAAAACTAACTTGAAATGCTGATGTTCTCTTGAGCTGCGAATCTTGGAGGAGTAGCGCTCAGCTAGTTTATCTAGCCCTCGAGAGTACTCTAGCTGGAGTTCAGCCTTTCGACGGAAGAAATCCTGCAAGTCCTGCAGCAGCTGAAGCCTGGACTCTGACTGCTGTTCCAGACATCGGAACTGTTCCACCAGCTGGTTACGTATTTCTGCATAAGAAAGCAAAATAAAACACAATTAGCTGAATAAACAGAGACGATCTACGTGTATTTCACCATCAGCATAAACAGGCCCACCCCGTACCAAACAAGGAGGATGTAAAAGGCATGTGAGGGCACACTTAACCCAAAAGTTACACTACAAAACAGAACAAAGTCACCATAACCAGAAAAAGCTAACATGTCAGAATTCATTAGCCTGCCAGCTTTGCATGCAAGTGTGTGGGGGTAATGAGAAGGGGATAGAACAAGAGTGTCTGTTTGCCATGGCTGCACACGTGCATACAGCATGAGATGCATGTCTGATGATTGCAGCAGACAGCACGTAAAATATAGGTCAGCTTCGCAAACTGTATTGTGCTGAGCGAGCCTTCAGAGGACTTTGGCAGAAAGACACAAACTGCAAGCATTTGTTTTATTTCATGATTTTACTGGTCTCTCTTTGTTAAAGGCTCGAAAACTTAGCTGTAAAATCAGTTCAAAATACATTTTCTAAGCAAAACATTTTAAGTACAATTTAGTAATTTCATATTAACATTACATTAACACCTAAGTACTACCCACATTAAAAATAAAAAAGCCCTGCATATTTTTGTAAATCAAACTGGATGTTAACCAGTTGATGGACAGTGTCAGAAGACAAGCCTGCCTTGTTGTTTTTAACAGTTCAATACGACAGCTACTAAAGACCTCCAGAGTCCCTCCTGATTAGCCTGTGGGTAATTGTGGGGAACTGCATATTCTTCCACCAATGCTCAAAGAAAACCTAGCATGGCCTGCAGGACTGATATGTTTTATACAGGTTGTATCAGTCTGGCAAATGCTGGTAATGCTGGATTTCAAAGCAGGGACTGACAGGGTCAGCGTCATCAGGTTAAAACAAACCAGATAACTACGTATGTGACCAGATAACTATGTATTTGCTCCATTTTTGTAATTTTGTAGTCCGTGTAACACGTCCAGTCATAGTCAAGCCATAAAAAAAAAAAAATTGATATAGGTTAACTGCAGAGATGCACCATCCAATACCCAGGTCAGATATCAGCTTCGATATTGACTAAGAAGGTGGAATGGCTATCAGATAAATTATGCCGATTTTGATCCAGTAGTTTTTTTTATTAATATATACTGCATTACAGTTACAGTGTTCTAGGCACTTCAACTCCATGTTTGAAGCACCAGTTACAGTAGATCATCACACAAAGCAGCAAGTGTGATGTATATCTGTTTATATGTTACCAATTTAAGCAATGCTTATTTCAAGCCTGATGTCTTCACTACATGTCAAGGCATATGGTTAATTCATTCAACAATAAGATCGGTTTCAGGTATCTGTCTATATGGTCAGGTATCTGTCTATATGGTCAGTCCAGCTCTATTTGGACAGGATAATAAAAAAAACTAGAAAATTTGAAAACACATAATAGAGATTTGTATGCTTCTATTATGGCATCTTCAGAATTTGAGAAATATGTTTACTTTGTTCAAACCCAAAGTACAATAATCTATACTGAATTTTTAAAACACAAATTTTGATTAAAAATTGTTTGTAATGAAAATCTACAAGCAACTACTTTTCCACATCGAACTATTGCTATATTTTAAGATGAATCCCCTTACATGTTGACCTCCAAGCTGGATGAAAACAGCCTAGCTTTGTTTTGTTTTGTTTTTTATATTGTAGATTACTAAAGATTCCTTTATGAAAGATTACAAGCATGCACACAATTGCTGCTTTGACAATAAATCCATGTTAATGTATGAATGGAAACGAGAGCTCAAAAGAAGAGAGGCCTTAATTCAAAATTCTTCATGCCATTTTCTGAATGCAGAGGAAAGTGTCTTAAAAAGAATTACTCCCCCAATACCTTTGAGGAAAATTGTGAATGACTGAGCAAAGACATAGACAAATAAAGTAAACATATAATCCCCTGATATGAAGAGAAAAGGAGATGTGCCCCTTTTGGTCCCCACAGTTGCCTAGTTGCCTGGTTACATGGCTCTGGAGGTATTTCAGTGAGAGCAGGCCAGTTCCCTGCTCCAACAGTCACAGCAGTCAGTCTGTTTAGCATAATGGCCAAGGACAGGGGCAACTTACTCTGCTTCAGACTATGCAACAAACAGCGTTTGATGATTAATGGGACAGTGATAAAGTCAAAAACATTAAGGACCGTTAATGTACTCTTGAATTGAAATAGACCACTGAGTAACACTATTTGTTGGCCTTTATGTTTTAAGTGGTTATTATTCCCACAGTGGTAGCAAGCAAACATAATAAGCAAACATCTTGAAGAGCATAAATATAACTGATTTAATTACATAAATTTAGAAGGAAGACCAGATGCACATTTGCTATTTGCATTTCCTCTCCTGTGTGAGAGTTACTTTTAGATCTTAAAGTGTTACTAGCAACAGAGCACTACGTTTAATGAATGATTCAAGCCTTTGCGGGGTAATGCATAATTACACATAGTCTTGCAAGGAATTTAAGAAATGGGACTAAGAAAAATTTTCCTCTCTCTTGCTGAGAGCAATAAAATGTCATGTAACATGTCATACCAGTTTCTTTGCCTGGGAACAGAGTGTGCTCCACACACAAAGAATGATGGAAATCCACAAATGGGATTTTTGACAATTGATGCAATTCCTTTTCCTATGCAGGCTGGTCAAAATACTATATACTGATATTAACTGCTTTCTGTAGCTCTCCAATTATATATTAATGACTCTTAAATAAAAGAATGGCCATATAAATAGAGCCTGTTCCCATAAGTAGAAAAACCACTGGTGGGCAGAGATAGGCGTGATATGTCTGTACTGAATTGTTTCTCTCAAATATGTCTGTAAGTCAACACATATTCTGAAGAAATGTCAAATAAGGAAATTTCTCGATTGTTTGAAATGTAAAGTAATTGATCAGTGGTACACTTTTAGATTAAAGACTTTCAGGTAAAACTACATTTTAAGGCCAATTTGTTGGGGGCATCTTACTTATGACTTGTAACCCAAGGTAGTGAATTTGCCAATCACATGGCAACAACTCTATATATTAAGGCATCTAGATGAGAAAAGAAAACAAAAAAACTATTGGAGTTGATACCATGTACTAAATTTTGGTACATGGTATCAACTGGTTTCAGAGTCCAATGGTCTTGTATGATGGTATAACATGGTCTGAGTATTCCAGAAACTGCTAATCTACTGGAATTTTCTCACAAAACTTACCCAAACTGTTCCTGGAAATAAATAATATTCAATGAGTGGTGGTTGCCTTGTTGATTCAAAGTTAAATGGCCAGACTGGTTTCAGAACACCAAAAAGCAACAATAGCTTAACACCGTAGCTGCTGGGCCACAGCAGCAGAAAACCATAGGTGCCCGCTAAAAAACAGAATCCAAAAAAAATAAATAAATAAATAAATCGCATTAAAAGATAAGATCACATTTTGCCTGAAAATGGTGCCTAACATTTAAAATAATAATTTCAGATGCAACAATAAGATGAAAGTGTCAGAATCTGGTGACATAATATGAAAGCAGTGGTCTTACTCTCTTTTATAAATGGCTTTAGCTAGTGCTGCAGTGGTGTAGATAACTCCCTGACACACTTTCAGCCCCCCGAGTACCAGGGTGAATGTTGTTTGAATGTTTTTCCAGACATCATCCAGTAGGGGACTCATTACAGTATAAACCCCCCTACATCAACCAAGTACTCCTGCTCTGTTGCAACACACCATATTCAAATGATTGCATTACCTCCTGAGCAGCGATCAAGACTGTGAATCCCTCATCAATATGTCAGGTGTATGGTAGCAAGAATGCATCTAGCATGCAGAACATGAATATTGAAAGAGCAGGGTTGGGAACCCTGCAATGGAGCAAATTTAAAATGAAATGGAACGAGACACTCCCTTTTTGAATGTGCAGCCATCAAATCTGCTGCAACTGCAAAAAGCCATCGTGTCAGAATGAACAGAATTGTGAGGAATACTTTCTCACACCCTGTTCAATCGATACCAAGAAGAATAGGACATTTTTGAATGCAAAAGGACAAAAAAGGGTTTAAGCTAGGAGTACCTAATAAGCTGGTCGTTTAAAGAAAATTTTGCAGAGAATTATTTCTCTTCTTTAACTGCATGTGCCATGCAATATGCAAATTGATGGCAAGCAATTGCAAAACCACATCAGCGTCAAGTTAATATGTAATTTAACACCACCTAAGTTGTTGAAATAGATATAATTACATTTTGAAAGGAATTTATATGTTAAAAGGTATTCCCCTCCTAAAATGTTAGAAGGTTGACCTGCCATGTTTTTACTCTTAACAGCCAGAAACACACTTTCACCAAACAAACAGCAGCAATGCTTTTGGTTGTTACCCTCCAATCTCTGGCAGATAGTCAAATGAAATAAGGGAAAGCAGTGGTCACGGTTTCATCTCAGCTTTGCCAGCTAGGCGTGGGCTTTATAACAGTTAGAGCACCAGATATCATGCAGAGAGGAGCTGCCGTCACCGCGGTTACAAAGTCAAAGTAGCCAAGCACAGTTATTAGTAAGCACAGTCTGTAGCAGTGACTGAGACTGTTGTTAGTTATGCATGGCTAGTCACAACGAACCTAACCCAGGATGACACATTGACATAATTTGGTCCAAACAAGGCTGTGTTATATGAGCACTTGTCTGCTGAATGAAGTAATGACTATGGTATTCATTTATAGTTGGTTTGATTAAGTTCACATAGCTTGCTCCCTCTCACTCCTAAAAAATGCTTTTAACAAAAAACTCCATTGCTCTTGGTGAAATCACACATGGAAATGTAATATTTACAGGTACAACACTAAGCGATTTTCTCCTTGGATTTTGTTACGCTGTGCTCTGAGCCTTTCACTGTCACCAAAGCAACAAATTACAGTCTTAAGCATTGGTGTTACCAAGAAACATACAAAAATATTAATGTAAATATCAAGGATCAACTATAACACTTAAGGCCAG